TGAAGCCATGGTCTTAATTACCGCGATTGTTTCAAACAAAAGGTTGCATAATGTTGACCTTATTAACTAGGATGTGGAGCAAAACAATAATTGGGGATTCAAATGAAAGAAATCATGGCGACACTTGTAACAAACTGTTATCTGCAGATGTTCACACAAAGCCATTGGTATTTATTGTATGTCTTATCTTATGTAGAAACTCACCCAAGACGACCTCAGGCTGTTTAATAGACATGTTAAAGTAAAATCTAGACACTGAAATATTTCATCTCTAAACTATTTTGAACATTTAAAGTGAAAGTGTCACGGGTATATATAACTTTGCAGATTTTAACATCGTAACATCGTTAATGCAAATATCGTATTGAAAACATCGAAAGCGGGGCGTAAATAGGGTTTATTTGCACTTTTGTCCTGTCTATTAATTTCAAAGTTGGAAACGAAAATACAGAGGAGGCGGAACCTGTATATATGTATATATATTATCCATATGTGGTGTTTTTGGAGGTCACAACCTCTAAAATATGACGCTTGATTTCACAAAAGCCCGCCCCTCTATAACTTTTTTATATCGTCCATTATCACGTACGCCTGAAGCCGAATACGTGTGTATCAAGCATCTCTTTGAGCATCTGAGCCTGAAGGATAACAGTGTGCATCTCCACTTGCTGGGCTTCTTGTGATTGTCCCGCTGACAATAGAGAGACACGTCCACACCATGTCTATTAAAAGAAGCAACAGCAAACACTTGCGTGACTATCCCGGGTACTCCGGCAACGTCACACACGTCTTTGACCACGACGACGCAATGGACAAACCATACCACAGAAACTGGGAACCTCCAGCTGACTACCAGGAGAGCATGGTAAGAACGTTCGTTTAACAAGTTAGTGTGATTTTCTTCACGTTTTGAAGAATGTTTTCTATTTTCCTGGGTTCAGGGTTTCAGTATAATTACATCTCAACACCAAAATGTTTGAACTATTATTTAAAATTATTTAAAAAATATTTAAAATCAAAGTTTTGTCGTTTAACAATACTATAGCAGTGTGTGCAGATCGGGTGTAACGCGGATTGAAGTGTTACGGGTGGATTAAAATACGCAAGAGCGGTCAGTGCTTCAGTCACTGCCACCCTAAAATGCCGAATGTTACAACAAATGATTATTAAAAAACATTTTTAAAATAATAATCTGCATGTTAACCAATCCATATAGAGGTGAGGTGAGGTGAAATGGGGTTAACGTCGCGTCCAAGATTATTGCACTTATATAGCGACGTGCATGTACGTGTGTGTGTTTGTGGCTGCTTGTACTAGTCCGGACTGGTGCAGATTTATAGTGCTAGCCATGAGATACCATGCCGCAGTTTAACATGAATACCCCACTCAGACACAATATACTGACCCCGAGCCGACCAGTCCTTGTTTTAGCCCCTTAATGCCGAGCGCCAGACAGGGTAACAACAAGTACCATCTTTTAACGTCTTTTGGTCTGACGCGGCAGGGGATCGAACCCCGGACCTTCCGCTCTCCGGGCGGACGCTCCAGCACTGAAGTACTCATGGAAATAAAAAAAACCCTGCTTTGCTGGATCGACACAAAGCATTACGTAGATGTAAATACGAAATAACAAAACAAATGGAAAAGTACTAGTCTGGATTTGCTAGTTATATCTCAGTGCTCAATACAAAATGTACTTTACAGGAGGTAATTTGTAGGCACTTTCAACATTCAAAAATATAACTAAGTCCAAATTGACACTTTCAAGAAACAGGCTATAGGCATTATGCAAATTAGCCTGGAAAAAAGGTTATCAAAACAACAATAAAAATAACAGCTATGTTTATGTACATAATAATAATGACATGTAAGTTGTTGTTTGAGAAGGGAATATGTTACTTTTACGTTCTGATATTTTGACGATGATTCACTATCCCACAATGCCACTCACAAATCACTAACCACTGACAAATCACATGCACGTGGGTTTCAAGCACCTGTTTTCACCTGTCGTCAAGGTGTCATAGGTCATGGACATTCACCTTGATCTACTAACACCTGGTTATGCTCAGTTTCACAATAGTCGGTTTTGTTCATATTTTTACACACTTTTACGTGTAAAAAGACACAAGGCCCAATTAGTACTAATTGAGTTGTTTGAATATTTATATGTTTTGTATATTAACTGCATTTATGTAAAATCTGAGATCGAAAAAGCAGGTTTTTTTCATTTCCGTGAGTACCTTTTTTGTTAGACCAAGGAGGCAGTCAATCCATAAAGATATCGTATGTTAGAAGTTAGACTTGCATTACATTATCATGTAACTAATGCCCTGAAGTTTTACAATGATGTTTGTTCATCAAAGTCTTTGTATACAATGGGATAACGCAATTTAGTGTTCACAAAATCGCGGATTACGCAAGCTGGATCGCGGTTCCTGGGAACCGGACAAGATACGCACGATATGTACACATGATAGTGTATTTATATGCACGCGTGTTGGTCCAGAGTAGGGATGTAGAGATTAACGAACGACTGGTACGTGCAGAAGAATATGTATTCAGAGATAGAACCATGAGAGACATTCATGCATAGTCATTAGTATATAGCCTTCTATCTTGTAAAATATATGACAAAATCGCACATTTTTGACAATCTGTGTCATTCTCCATATAGTAATGACGTGAGTATTTAGATGTATTTCAGGCACATAAATACCTTCTGTGAGAAGTATATTTATTTTTGACATTCTGCACCCCCCCCCCCCCCCCCCCCCCCTCTCACACACACATTTGTTTACCACCAACTCATATTCGCATGTGGTGTCCCCCACAGGGGTATTCGCAGGACGACGACCCCTCGAATTTTTCCATTCGCAGAACGACGACCCGCCGGTACGCCTTTGATGTGTGGTGTTGTTTTAGGAGGGGATTAACTCCCTGGTTAGTGTCAAAAACTGAAATATGATTTTGATAATCTAGTGAGTACCATTTACTCAACTGATTGACTCAACAGTTACTCAACAATACAGGTAGGCCAAATGTGTATAATTTGGTTTATATTTCTCGTCACCACAACCTGGGTTGAGACAGAGTAGGAGCCTTGGAACCATTTCAACAACGACGGCCCTCGCACCAATAACCTGGAGGGATGGCATGGACGCTTAAAGAAAGTCATCGGCAAAGCCCATCCCAACATCTTTGAGCTGATAAGATTTCTAGGAGCTGAACAGCAGAAGACAGAGTGTAATCTGCTACAGTACGAGGCGGGCCAGCGTCTCCCACCAAAAAAGAAGAAGTTCTGTGACATACAACGCAGAATCGATCAACTGAAGACCAGACTGATCCAGAATGAAGTCAGCGTAATTGTCTTTGCTCAGTGTCTCATCTTCTCAAACTGTTTTAATTGCCCATGACTTTTGTGAATCTAATATGTACGTCATCTTGTACATATACATTCAAATTATTTGTAAATAAATCAATATTCCACCCTTATTGTCTTTCGTTCGTTTCAAATCCAGTTCCACTTTTTTACTTGCTAAAATAACACTCGATACCCATTGTTTAACTAGATTGGCGGATTAAAATATTCGCAGGACGACGACCTCACTTTTTGCTAGTTTGTTTTCATACGACACAGGGGGTCGTCGTCCTGCGAATGAACCGTCCCACACGACATTTAAAACAACTTACTGTGACAGGTAACACAAATCTGTTAGAACAACAAAGCTGTATTCACAACGTGATGTTATTTATCCAAATCAGATCTATAGCTCCGAATGGGTCAGACGGAACGGCATTAGTGTGGGCAATATATATTTTATGCGTTCCGTTTCAGATCGAGATATGATTCAAACGCCCCCGGGTGTGGGGAGCCGGGTAATTGGTACTAAGATATACAGTGCGACGACCCTTCATGATTCATCAATATCAATAGGAGGCCTCCACAACAATAAACTCTCCACAACCAAGCTCTTTGTTTGACAATACTCATATGTGGCATTGTTACCGTATACCGCTAACACATGACAAATCTTCACATCATGGTGTTTTTTCAACGAACATTGTTTTTTTCTCCTAAAATGACGCAAATGCGTGTGTTTAAATATAAAGGCTAGCCTCGTCCATGTCAAGATTCCACGGATCGTATAATTAAGCCACATGCATTTTGTTACATTGTATGCCAGTAAACGTAGTCACTACTTAGAAACATAGGTTTAGTATACGCCATACTATGTATGAATAATTATATTATTCTTCCTCCCCTTCTACCTTCTCCTTCCTCCTCCTCCTCCTTCTTCCTTCTCCCCTTCTTCTTTCTTCTTCTGCCTTCTCCACTCTTCTTCACCCTTTTCCCGTTTCTTCTTCTTCCTCCCCTTCTTCCTTCTCCTTACTCCTTTTCCTCCTCCTCCTTCTTCCTTCTCCTCCTCCTGCCTTCTCCTTCTTCATCCTCCTCCTCACCCTCCTTCTCCCTTCTTCTCCCTTTTCTTCTTCCTTCTCCTTACTCCTTTTCCTCCTCCTCCTTCTTCCTTCTCCTCCTCCTGCCTTCTTCTTCATCCTCCTCCTTCTCATCCTCTTCTCCCTTTTCCTCCTCCGCCTTCTTCCTTCTCCTTTTCCTCCTCCTTCCTTCTCCTCCTCCGTTCTCCTTCTTCATCCTCCTCCTTCTTCATAAATAGTGGCAGCATATGCTTACAATTAGGAATATACTAACGGTTAGGAATATGAAACAACGAAACAATGGAAGGACATACTAACGATTAGACTTTGGGTGTATGCAGCAATGATATAAAATTGTAGTATATACTTACGATTAGGTACTGGGAATATGCATCGACGAAAACAATAGCAATACTAACGTGGAGGTATCGGGAATATGCAGCAATGATAAACAATGGCGGTATATACTAATGATGGGTATTGGGAATATATAGTTTTAATTGACATAACATATATATATAATAAGTGGTTGTGGCCTAATTCGTAGTTACTTGTCTTTCTAGGACCCGAGCGGCAAGTGGGGGCGAGACATCACGTTCCACCAGAAATACTCGCCGCCATCCAATGTCGGCTCCGACCAGTACGACTCCGAGGGAAACCCCAAGACCTTCAAACGGGTGCTAACCAGGTTCGCAGGGCGGACTTCCATGCAAGGGATTCCCTACATCCACACATCCAAGACCTGGTACGCCAAGTTGGTGTGGGTGGTGCTCCTCCTAGGAGCCCTGTGTGTCATGGGGATCCACCTCTATACTCTCAGCTCATCCTACATCATGTTCGAGAAACAGACGAAGGTTCAGCTTGGCTTCCAGAACCTCAAGTTCCCCTCGATCACCTTCTGCAATGTGAACCCTGTTAGGTCTTCGATGATATCAAAAGGCAGAAAAGAACTGAAGGACTATATAAGGACCATAAGAGCAGATGCTGTTGCTTCTTCACTTAAGGTTCGTAGCTTTTTTTGCGACATTTTTGCAGTTAATACAGTAAAATAACGGTGATGATGATGCCATCGATAAAAAATACAAGAGTGAATGTGGTTGGCTGGTTGGTTTGTTGTTGAACCCCGCACTCAGCAATATTTCAGCTGTATTACGGCGGTCTGTAAACAATCGCGTCTGAACCAGACAATCCAGTGATTAATATCATGAGCATCAATCCACATAATTGGCATCGATGACATGCATCAACCAAGTCAGCGAGCCTGACCACCCGATCCTGTTAGTCGCCTTTTACGACAAGCATAGTCGCCTTTTACGGCAAGCATGGGTTGCTGAAGACCTATTCTACCCCGGAATCGAGTGAGTGTGAGTTCGGATTAACGACGAATTGAACAGTATTCCAGTTATATCACGGCGTGTCAGCCAAATGTGGGAGGAACGCCTGAAGTGATGCAATTCTCAGACGTTTACCACTTTGATTAATCCTTCGAGCGCGGTTATTGTGCTGACAAATATATAAATATTATCGGGACGACCTTGATTCGAACCACAACCCACAACCACAGGTTTCTTGCGTGCCGGAGTGCCTTAACTCTGCTCATTGAATTACTTCGCCTTAGGGCCGCCCATGACCCCCCAAACAAGAAAATCAAGCACAAGAACAATAATAGTAGTAACACTGACAATGATAATAAGCTCTTATTATCTGGAAGACTCCACACTACAGTGGGTCGTGCTTAAAGCTACAACAATTTTATATTGCCCAGGTCAACTCATGAATTAGTTCGAAAGTTAATATTCACAAAACCACCCCATCCTACCAGGTTCGCTTCTGTATAAATACTTTTTTAATATGTGAATAAATATATACTACTCCCATAAAGTTTTATTAATATATATTACTAACGAGCAGCATTTGCCCATGAGCTTCAAAAATAAACTTCTAAGATTTATTGAGTTTGACCTGTTCCGTTGTCACCCAGAAAAAACCGAGGTCTTTGATTAAAGTTGATCTTAATTCAGGTATATTGGAATCAGCTCATTCGAATAGCCAAGCTATACTATTTTGCCATATTAGGACAGTTTAGATGACATTCAACCATGCACTAATTTACATCTTAAATTTAGATGAAACCAATTACTACATATTATCTCTACGAATTATATTGTAAACATAAGCGCTCCATAACGGCAAGCAGTATTGGTTTTATAATAGTCAAAGATACCCCTTTCCTCGATGTAATTTAAAACGAAGTACATACAACGAAACGATTCACTAGTCACGAGTCCAGCAATGTTCATATCCTTTTTGTCACTGTTGACCCGTATTTCTGTCAATCCATATACCTAGTATGATGTTATAACCTGTCACTATTGATGTTGTATTTACAGAACAAAAGGCAGCAGAACAACTTAAACCAGGGTCCAAATCAGCAACAATCCCCCGGTCCACGACCACAGCCTGCACCTGGTCGCAGAAAACGCTTCATTGATAGCTTTGAATACAATTTCACTAACACCAGGAGACAAGAACCACCTGGCTTCAATTTTTTTTCTGGTCAAACATCAACCCTCCAAGATATCCGCAAAGAATTTACTCACCTGTTCAGCTCAGAAGAGAGGTAAATAGCACATCTGGTATAGCATATGACAGCTCACACCACAGGTAGATAACACATCTGGTATAGCATATGACAGCTCACACAACGCATAGATAGCACATCTGGTATAGCATATGACAGCTCACACAACAAGTAAATATCACATCTGGTATAGCATATGAAAGTTCACACAACGCATAGATAGCACATCTGGTATAGCATATGACAGCTCACACAACAGGTAAATAGCACATCTGGTATAGCATATGAAAGTTCACACAACAAGTAGATAGCACATCTGGTATAGCATATGACAGCTCACACAACAGGTAAAAAGCACATCTGATATAGCATATGACAGTTCACACAACATGTAAATGGCACATCTGATATAGCATATGACAGCTCACACAACAGGTAGATAACACATCTGGTATAGCATATGACAGCTCACACAACAAGTAGATAGCACATCTGGTATAGCATATGACAGCTCACACAACAGGTAGATAGCACATCTGGTATAACATTTGACAGCTCACACAACAGGTAAATAGCACATCTGATATAACATATGACAGCTCACACAAGAAGAAGAGAGCACATCTGTTATAGCATATGACAGCTCACACAACAGGTAGAAAGCACATCTGGTATAGCATATGACAGCTCACGCAACAAGTAGATAGCACATCTGGTATAGCATTTGACAGCTCACACAACAGCTAAATAGCACATCTGATATACATTGTAGCATATGACAGCTCACACAACAAGTAGATAGCACATCTGGTATAGCATTTGACAGCTCACACAACAGGTAAATAGCACATCTGATATTGCAGGTAGATATCGCACCTAGTAGGTCACATGACAGCTCACACAACAGGAAGATATCGTACCTGCTATGTCACATTGCAGCTCACACAACAGGTAGATATCGCAGCTAGTATGTCACGTGACAGCTAACACAACAGGTAGATATCGCACCTTGTATGTCACATAACAGCTCACACAACAGGCAGATATCGCACCTTGTATGCAACATAACAGCTCACACAACAGGCAGATATCGCACCTAGTATGTCACGTGACAGCTCACACAACAGATAGATATCGCACCTTGTATGTCACATGACAGCACACACAACAGGGAGATATTGTACCTTGTATGTCACGTGACAGCTCACACAACAGGTAGATATCGCAGCTAGTATGTCACGTGACAGGTCACACAATAGGTAGATATCGCAGCTAGTATGTCACGTGACAGCTCACACAATAGGTATTTTTGTAGCGCGTATGTCACATAACAACTCACACAACAGGGAGATATTGTACCGCGTATGTCACATAACAGCTCACACAAAACGTAAATATTGTACCGCGTATGTCACACAACAGCTCACACAACAGGGAGATATTGTACCGCGTATGTCACATAACAACTCACACAATAGGTAAATATCGTACCTCGTATGTCATATGACAGTACCCAGAAAGGTAAATATCGCACCTAGTATGTCACATTGCAGCCTAGACACGACAGGTACATATCACACCTAGTATGTCACATTGTAGCTTACACACGACAGGTACATACCGCACCTAGTATGTCACATTGTAGCTTAGACACGACAGGTACATATCGCACCTAGTATGTCACATTGTAGCTTACACACGACAGGTACATATCACACCTAGTATGGTACATTGTAGCTAAGACACGACAGGTACATATCGCACCTAGTATGTCACATTGTAGCTTACACACGACAGGTACATAACGCACCTAGTATGTCACATTGTAGCTTACACACGACAGGTACATATCGCACCTAGTATGTCACTTTGTAGCTTACACACGACAGGTACATATCGCACCTAGTATGTCACATTGTAGCTTACACACGACATGTACATACCGCACCTAGTATGTCACATTGTAGCTTACACACGACAGGTACATATCGCACCTAGTATGTCACATTGTAGCTTACACACGACAGGTACATATCGCACCTAGTATGTCACATTGTAGCTTACACACGACAGGTACATATCGCACCTAGTATGTCACTTTGTAGCTTACACACGACAGGTACATATCGCACCTAGTATGTCACATTGTAGCTTACACACGACAGGTACATATCGCACCTAGTATGTCACATTGTAGCTTACACACGACAGGTACATATCGCACCTAGTATGTCACATTGTAGCTTACACACGACAGGTACATATCGCACCTAGTATGTCACATTGTAGCTTACACACGACAGGTACATATCGCACCTAGTATGTCACATTGTAGCTTACACACGACAGGTACATATCGCACCTAGTATGTCACATTGTAGCTTACACACGACAGGTACATATCGCACCTAGTATGTCACATTGTAGCTTACACATGACAGGTATATATCGCACCTAGTATGTCACATTGTAGCTTACACACGTCAGGTACATATCGCACCTAGTATGTCACATTGTAGCTTACACACGACAGGTACATATCGCACCTAGTATGTCACATTGTAGCTTACACACGACAGGTACATATCGCACCTGGTATGTCACATTGTAGCTTACACACGACAGGTACATATCGCACCTAGTATGTCACTTTGTAGCTTACACACGACAGGTACATATCGCACCTAGTATGTCACATTGTAGCTTACACACGACAGGTGCATACCGCACCTAGTATGTCACATTGTAGCTTACACACGACAGGTACATATCGCACCTAGTATGTCACATTGTAGCTTACACACGACAGGTACATATCGCACCTAGTATGTCACTTTGTAGCTTACACACGACAGGTACATATCGCACCTAGTATGTCACATTGCAGCTTAGACACGACAGGTACATATCGCACCTAGTATGTCACATTGTAGCTTACACACGACAGGTACATATCGCACCTAGTATGACACATTGCAGCTTACACACGACAGGTACATATCGCACCTAGTATGTCACATTGTAGCTTACACACGACAGGTACATATCGCACCTAGTATGTCACTTTGTAGCTTACACACGACAGGTACATATCGCACCTAGTATGTCACATTGCAGCTTAGACACGACAGGTACATATCGCACCTAGCATGTCACGTGACAGCTCACACAACAGGTAGATATCGCACCTGTATGTCACGTGACAGCTCACACAACAGATAGATATCGCAGCTAGTATGTCACGCGACAGCTCACACAACAGGTAGATATCGCAGTTAGTATGTCATGTGACAGCTCACACAATAGGTAAATATTGTAGCCTAGTATGTCACATTGTAGCTTACACACGACCGGTACATATCGCACCTAGTATGTCACATTGCAGCTTAGACACGACAGGTACATATCGCAAGTAATATCCTTCTTGTTGTCCCGGGGCGTGTTGCTAGCCTGGTGGGTCAAACGAAGACCTGGGTCAGAATGCCGATATGAACACAAAGTATGAAGTCCGATTGTGGTGACAAATGGAAAATACTGCAAAAAGACCCAATTGAATCCCATTGTTTGTTTCCTCGGGGTATCTTGAAGAATACATAATGGTTAAGGAAGAGATTTTATGGATGTCAACTTCTTTATTATAGATATTACTGCATCATCTCCACGTTGATGTCGCATCAAGTCTTTGAAACGACTTTTATCAGCCCCAATCTATCTAAATATTTTTGTTGTTTTAAAGAAATTAACATGTCAATGTGTTCATCTTGTCTTTGAAAGGCATCTAGAAGTGATACACATAAGGAAGAGAGTTTATGGATTTCAACTTCTTTATTATGAGGAACACAACGTTTCGGAGTAGATGTTTATTCCTTCATCAGGTGAATGAAGGACTAAGTATATACTCCGAAAGGTTGACAATGTGTTCCTCATAATAAAGAAGTTGAAATCCATAAACTCTCTTCCTCATGTGTATCACTTCTAAATAGCTTTCAAAGACTATATTATGGTTGTTTGCCTGTAATTGCAAAGCAATCGTCATGATATACAACTGGAAATGTAAATTTCCAAATATACATAATATATTTTGCATACCAATGTCTTACATCTGACATCAATTATTTCTTTTAAAATATGTACGTATTACACATCTACCCTGACGACAGAATTTTGAAATGACCTTCACCTTGTTTGATTCATTGTTTGTTTGATTCATGGTTGTTATTGAACATTGGTTCATATTGTGTGTTGCGATGTTCATGCTTACCATTGTTGCGAACACCTGGTGTTTCAAGTGATCCATTTGGAGTCTGTGACATAGTTTATTTGAGATTAATGAGATCACAGAACAATACGAAATTGACAATGTGATCAGAAGCCGTTCTTTAATCTCTTATTGTGAGTCAAAGCTGAATGAATAGTCAACTTCTGTAGTCTTATCTACCATGAAATGTTTAATGTTTTTGAATCAATGTCTGTAATGACATGTAGGGACAGTCTATGTTTGACATAGGGGTGTGCCCAATCGACTACATAGAGCCTGTAGGCATATCGAAGCATAGGCGAATTGGCGTATAGGCGATATCAGAATAACCCATCCATTTATATAATTTTCACCGCTATTTCGCCTTTTACGTCCACATAAATGAAGTGACGAAACCCTTATCATATCCAATAGAAATTTCTGAGTCGATTGTACAATTTCGACTATATCCTGAGCATGTGTTTATGAATCACTATCATGATACCACGTATTCGCGAAAAGGTGAGCGGATCCTGCCCCACCGGTGGCACCCGTCACAAGGAATTCGTTTCGGCGATAATCCATACTGGTTTTTCTATTGCGTTGACGTTTTCTATTTTTCGTCCGAAAGGGCTACGCGGATCGAGATGGGCCACTCTATATCAGACATGCTAGTGTCATGTGCCTTCTCCGGCGTCGTGTGCAACGAGAGGTGAGTGGGCGTGTCACCAACTAGTCGGGTACAGTAATAGTGTTTATGTCAAATCTGTAGTTTGTAGTCTGTAATATGTAAACTGTAATATTACGATGGTGCCAAATTAAGAACAATATTTTTATCATGTAGAAATTAGTCATACATAATTTCATCACTTCGCTTATGCAGACTTGCTTGATAGATTTAAAAAAATCGTAGAATAACAATTATTTAGTGCTTTGTAGAACAACCGATATTGCATACATTGCCGGTTGTCTTGTATTTGAGTATAAGTATATATCTACTGATGTAATATTACGATGGTGCTGTAAAATTAAGGTAAACTTATTTTTATCATGTATAAATTATTGATACATGGTGTCATCACTTCGCTAATGCAGAATTGTTTGTTTATCTAAAACTTTGTAGAAGTATGTATTTTTGCATACATTCATTGTTTCATACCGGATGTCTTGTATTTGATAAGTAAGTATGAAAGTTGTATTGTTCAAGTCTTTTATAACGGGATCTTGTGGTCAGGCTCACTGACTTGGTTGATGCATGTCATCGTATCCCAAAGCATAGATCGATGCTCATGACGTCAATCACTGGACTGCAGGTCTAGACTTGATTATTTACAGAACGCCGTCATACGGCTGAAATATGGCTGAGTGCGGCTTTAAACAACAAAGAAACAAATAAACGAAATGATGCCTATTTCAGTTTTTTTCGGATCCACCCCACGTCCATGTATGGTAATTGCTACACTCTAGAAAACTCGGCCTTCGTCAGCTTCCGGAGCGGCCCATCCAATGGTAAGATACATGGTACACTTTTTTTGCAACGACGTTAGCTTCACTAGATATTCGATATCATAATTAAATCCGAAAAATGAATTTTTACACATTACAAAGTATAACGCCATTTCTGTGACATGTAAACAGGCATGCATTGTTGGCAATGCTTGGTTCAGTGTTTCGCCTGTATCGGGAGTCGTATTTGTAGTAGGGGTGTAAAATGGAATTTGAATAACTACAAACTTACAAAGCCTCGATTATTCGATTGCTACACATAACTCACAATTAAAACATGTTACAACGATATCGTTTGTCAATGATCAATTAAGACAAGAGAGAAAAAGTCAACCATTTGTATTCCACGGGCGATTTGGTCTACAGTCCTTGACTCTGGTATTATCTTTGTATTCTCTGAACGTACTTTCTTGTGTATAGCCTATTATCTACTGACTTGTGTTCTCATTCATCTAGGTGTATAACCTATTATCTACTGACTTGTGTTCTCATTCATCTAGGTGTATAACCTATTATCTACTGACTTGTGTTCTCATTCATCTAGGTGTATAACCTATTATCTACTGACTTGTGTTCTCATTCATCTAGGTGTATAACCTATTATATATTGACTTTTGTTCTCATTCATCTAGGTGTATAGCCTATTATCTACTGACTTGTGTTCTCATTCATCTAGGTGTATAACCTATTATCTACTGACTTGTGTTCTCATTCATCTAGGTGTATAACCTATTATCTACTGACTTGTGTTCTCATTCATATAAGTGTATAACCTATTATCTACTGACTTGTGTTCTCATTCATCTAGGTGTATAACCTATTATCTACTGACTTGTGTTCTCATTCATCTAGGTGTATAACCTATTATCTACTGACTTGTGTTCTCATTCATCTAGGTGTATAACCTATTATCTACTGACTTGTGTTCTCATTCATATAAGTGTATAACCTATTATCTACTGACTTGTGTTCTCATTCATCTAGGTGTATAACCTATTATCTACTGACTTGTGTTCTCATTCATCTAGGTGTATAACCTATTATCTACTGACTTGTGTTCTCATTCATATAAGTGTATAACCTATTATCTACTGACTTGTGTTCTCATTCATCTAGGTGTATAACCTATTATCTACTGACTTGTGTTCTCATTCATCTAGGTGTATAACCTATTATCTACTGACTTGTGTTCTCATTCATCTAGGTGTATAACCTATTATCTACTGACTTGTGTTCTCATTCATCTAGGTGTATAACCTATTATCTACTGACTTGTGTTCTCATTCATCTAGGTGTATAACCTATTATCTACTGACTTGTGTTCTCATTCATCTAGGTGTATAACCTATTATATATTGACTTTTGTTCTCATTCATCTAGGTGTATAGCCTATTATCTACTGACTTGTGTTCTCATTCATCTAGGTGTATAACCTATTATCTACTGACTTGTGTTCTCATTCATCTAGGTGTATAACCTATTATCTACTGACTTGTGTTCTCATTCATATAAGTGTATAACCTATTATCTACTGACTTGTGTTCTCATTCATCTAGGTGTATAACCTATTATCTACTGACTTGTGTTCTCATTCATCTAGGTGTATAACCTATTATCTACTGACTTGTGTTCTCATTCATCTAGGTGTATAACCTATTATCTACTGACTTGTGTTCTCATTCATATAAGTGTATAACCTATTATCTACTGACTTGTGTTCTCATTCATCTAGGTGTATAACCTATTATCTACTGACTTGTGTTCTCATTCATCTAGGTGTATAACCTATTATCTACTGACTTGTGTTCTCATTCATATAAGTGTATAACCTATTATCTACTGACTTGTGTTCTCATTCATCTAGGTGTATAACCTATTATCTACTGACTTGTGTTCTCATTCATCTAGGTGTATAACCTATTATCTACTGACTTGTGTTCTCATTCATCTAGGTGTATAACCTATTATATATTGACTTTTGTTCTCATTCATCTAGGTGTATAACCTATTATCTACTGACTTGTGTTCTAATTCATCTAGGTGTATAACCTATTATCTACTGACTTGTGTTCTCATTCATCTAGGTGTATAACCTATTATCTACTGACTTGTGTTCTCATTCATCTAGGTGTATAACCTATTATCTACTGACTTGTGTTCTCATTCATTTAGGTGTATAACCTATTATCTACTGACTTGTGTTCTCATTCATCTAGGTGTATAACCTATTATCTACTGACTTGTGTTCTCATTCATCAAGGTGTATAACCTATTATCTTCTGGTTTGTGTTCCCATTCATCTAGGTGTATAACCTATTATCTACTGACTTGTGTTCTCATTCATCAAGGTGTATAACCTATTATCTACTGACTTGTGTTCTCATTCACGTAGGTCTGGAGTTGATCCTGTTTCTGGAGACTGACGAGCACATATCAACAATTGCTTCCGGTATAGGGACCCAGTTTCAAATACACGGCGAGAACACGTGGCCTGACCCGGAAGTGGATGGGATGTCAGTTTCAGCTACAATGGAAACTAGTATAGGCATGCGCATGGTATGTTGAATGGTTCCAGCTTACACTTTGTGTTTCCGTTTGAATGAGAGTATCCGAGACGTTATTCATTATTCTACCCGTGAAGATTCGGGGTGGAATAGATCTTCAGCAACCAATGATTGCCGTAAAAGGCGACTATGCTTGACAATGTCGTAAGATGCGACTAACGGGATCGGGTGGTCAGTTTCACTGACTTTGTTGATGCATGTCATCGTATCCCAATTTAGTGGCTCGATGCTCATGGTGTCAAATCACTCGATTGTCTTGCCTAGACTCGATTATTTACAGACCGCCGTCATAAAGCTGGCAAATTGCCGAGTGCGGCGTTAAACAACAAAAACCAAACCAAACTATCCACTATTCATATGCACATGGGTTTAGGCTGATTATTTTATGTACAAAGTGTTTGTGCATGTTGTTGATGAGTCCCATGAAACTCAAAGGGGATATGAACATAAGTTTGCTGGTAACCTAACAATAATCATTATATTACATATAAAACATAACATATCTTTCACACCCTTCTCTTGCAAAGCCAAATGTCACCACTGTCAATCCACAATGGTTTGGGAGAATATTATTTAATATGTGTCATTCATAATTAAGCTAAAGTAGTTCAGGTACAAGGTGACAGAGTGCATTTCCCCTTATCTTTGTCTTTACAGTAAACTACGTTTATAACGAACACGCTTATAACAAACTGACGTATGTAACTTACTGTTTCTTGGCCCCGTCCATTTTCTGTATATATGTTGTTCATATTTTCATTACGAACTACGGTTTTAACGAATTAAAATTAGTGGTCCCTTTGAGTTCGTTATAACCGTAGTTAACTGTATTTCGAGTAATATTCTAGCGGATCAAGCCTTTGGTGGCTTCATTTCTTTTGAGGTACAATCAAGCACGCTCTTTCAAAGAGCGTCATACGACATTTACTCAAAAGTTATTCGATCATGCCTACAGCATTCCTTGTCTTAGTGACCGCCTCCGTGGTCTAGTGGTAGAGCGTCCGCCAGGAGAGCCGAAGGTCCGGGGTTCGATCCCCGACCGCGTCATACCAAAAGACGTTAAAAGATGGTACTTGTTGTTACCCTGTCTGGCGCTCGGCATTAAGGGGCTAAACAAGGACTGGTCGGCTCGGAGTCAGTATATTGTGTCTGAGTGGGATATTCATGTTAAACTGCGGCATGGTATCTCAGTGAGCTAGCACTATAAATCGACATCAGTCCGGACTAGTACAAGCAGACACACAAAAACACACACACGTGCATGCACGTCGCTATATAAGTGCAATAATCTTGGACGCGACGTTAAACCCCATTTCACCTCACCTCACCTTGTCTAAGTAAACGTTCTTAAAGTTTTATGGTAGATACGTGAAGGGTATTTTTTTAAAATTTTCGCTTCAGTGACAAAACTGTTGTCTGATGCATTTCCCATTTGCTGACTCTGGTCCCTGTGTACGATATGTTCCCGTGTGCTTTCAGTTGAACACGTGACATTGACTGCATGTGTTTGTCTCGAGTGCAACCCATGAGGCAGGAAGAGCTCACCTTTCTCGATAGTGTTTCATGGATACATGCTTATGATACAATCGGAATCATACATTGGACTTTCCTATAGCAGATATTTCTTCTGATTATGGAAACGGGTTTGTCGCTTTCAACCAACGCGTATTTCAGCTGACGTTTGCGTTATTTCAGCTGACGTTTGCGTATTTTAGCTGAGGAATGCGTATTTCAGCTGACGTTTGCGTATTTTAGCTGACGTTTGCGTTTTTCAGCTGACGTTTGCGTACTTCAGCTGGCGTTTGCGTATTTCAGCTGGCGTTTGCGTTTTTCAGCTGACGTTTGTGTATTTTAGCTGACGTTTGCGAATTTTAGCTGACGTTTGCGTACTTCAGCTGGCGTTTGCGTATTTCAGCTGACGTTTGCGTATTTTAGCTGACGTTTGCGTATTTCAGCTGACGTTTGCGTATTTCAGCTGACGTTTGCGTATTTTAGCTGACGTTTGCGTATTTCAGCTGGAGATTCACAGGATGTCTGATCCCTATGGCAAGTGTGACGACGGTGCAGTCTTCAAAGCCAAATATGGAAAGCAATATACCAGGAAGGTAGGACCTGACCAGTCTAATAGTCGTGTGTTTACGCATCCATTTGGCTTCTTCACGCTAGATTCCTGGGTTTAAATTCTTAAAAAACCTTGTTATCTGTGAATACTATTCGTAGTGTTCTACTTAATTTCAAAAACTGTTTTTAAATGGTGTTGTCAATGGTTTAGCTTTTGGGCAATTTGTTATACCAAGGAGGTTTATGTGTTGCAACGTATTTAATAGTGATTATAAGTTGGAATGACAAGTCAAATGGTCCCTGTTTCGAGTTTTTTATAATTATTGACTTGATTAACATGCTCTGCGAGAAGAACTTTTGATCCGGTGGATTGGTAAGACTAGAAACACAACAAGAATGTCTTGTATGTTGATTTCATAAAATGTAAATTTATCAACAACTTTGAAGAGAAATACTATAAATACAGTTGCCAAAGTCAAAGACCTTTACTTTTTACTACATGTACAAGATCAATACAGATTGCGTTGTGTCCAATATTGAATATTTATCATTTGAATGCATATGTATTTTCTTTTTGATTTCAGACTTGTGAGACATTCTGTGTGCACGAGAGAATCATTAATCGATGTGGTTGCTTTGATGAACTTAAGGAAACACTGTATAGAAACATTAACAGCTCGGAGCCCGGGCGGGACGTTCCTCCATGCAGGACCAAAACACGTAAGTGCAACACATAGAGGTACGATCTCAATAGAGGAGAGGCCCCCGTAAACCTATGTTTGTATCCCCGTAGTGATTCCGACACAGAGTAGGTCCCCAGTACCCTATGCTTGTGTCCGTAGTGAATCCGACACAGAGTAGGTTCCCAGTACCCTATGCTTGTGTCCGTAGTGATTCCGACACAGAATTGGTCCCCAGTACCCTATGCTTGTGTCCGTAGTGAATCCGGCACAGAATAGGTCCCCAGTACCCTATGCGTGTGTCCGTAGTGATTCCGACACAGAGTAGGTCCCCAGTACCCTATGCTTGTGTCCGTAGTGATTCCGACACAGAGTAAGTCCCCAGTACCCTATGCTTGTGTCCGTAGTGAATCCGACACAGAATTGGTCCCCAGTACCCTATGCTTGTATCCGTAGTGATTCCGACACAGAGTAGGTCCCCAGTACCCTATGCTTGTGTCCGTAGTGATTCCGGCACAGAGTTGGTCCCCAGTACCCTATGCTTGTATCCGTAGTGATTCCGACACAGAGTAGGTCCCCAGTACCCTATGCTTGTATCCGTAGTGATTCCGGCACAGAATAGGTCCCCAGTACCCTATGCTAGTGTCCGTAGTGATTCCGACACAGAATAGGTCCCCAGTACCCTATGCGTGTCCGTAGTGATTCCGACACAGAGTTGGTCCCCAGTACCCTATGCTTGTGTCCGTAGTGATTCCGGCACAGAATAGGTCCCCAGTACCCTATGCTTGTGTCCGTAGTGATTCCGACACAGAGTTGGTCCCCAGTACCCTATGCTTGTGTCCGTAGTGATTCCGGCACAGAATAGATCCCCAGTACCCTATGCTTGTGTCCGTAGTGATTCCGACACAGAGTTGGTCCCCAGTACCCTATGCTTGTGTCCGTAGTGATTCCGACACAGAGTAGGGCCCCAGTACCCTATGCTTGTATCCGTAGTGATTCCGGCACAGAAGAGGTCCCCAGTACCCTATGCTTGTGTCCGTAGTGATTCCGACACAGAGTAGGGCCCCAGTACCCTATGCTTGTATCCGTAGTGATTCCGGCACAGAAGAGGTCCCCAGTACCCTATGCTTGTATCCGTAGTGATTCCGACACAGAGTAGGTCCCCAGTACCCTATGCTTGTATCCGTAGTGATTCCGACACAGAGTTGGTCCCCAGTACCCTATGCTTGTGTCCGTAGTGATTTCGACACAGAGTAGGTCCCCAGTACCCTATACTTGTATCCGTAGTGATTCCGACACAGAGTAAGTCCCCAGTACCCTATGCTTGTGTCCGTAGTGATTCCGACACAGAGTTGGTCCCCAGTACCCTATGCTTGTGTCCGTAGTGATTCCGACACAGAGTAGGTTCCCAGTACCCTATGCTTGTGTCCGTAGTGATTCCGGCACAGAATAGGTCCCCAGTACCCTATGCTTGTGTCCGTAGTGATTCCGACACAGAGTTGGTCCCCAGTACCCTATGCTTTGTGTCCCGAGGGTCATAATCGTAGCAAACCAAAGATTACGCCTGACGACCGAATAGCGGATCCTGGAAAGTCCAACACAAGGTTTCGCCTAGTTGGAGAGTACAAAAAATAGTTAATGTTGATATATTTTAGAACTTAAATCAGACCAATCACATGTGATTATGATATAAGACAAGGATGTGTGGATATAGAACCTGAAAAACGAGCACATGTGATGTCATATTCTCCTGCACCTCGTGTGTTTGTTCTTCAGAAATGGTGTGCTTACAAGAGATCGAGTCAAGATGGGAGACGGGCTTGTTCCAGTGTAATTGCTTCAACCCATGCCAGTATGTACTCCAAATGTAGATGAGATGAGATGTGTTGCCCGTCAGCATCCCCTGTCATATCAATTCTTGATCCGTCAGCATCCCCTGTCATATCAATTCTTGATCCGTCAGTATCCCCTGTCATATCAATTCTTGATCCGTCAGCATCCCCTGTCATATCAATTCTTGATCCGTCAGAATCCCCTGTCAATTCAATTCTTGATCCGTCAGCATTCTCTGTCATATCAATTCTTGATCCGTCAGTATCCCCTGTCATATCAATTCTTGATCCGTCAGCATCCCCTGTCATATCAATTCTTGATCCGTCAGCATCCCCTGTCATATCAATTCTTGATCCGTCAGCATCCCCTGTCATATCAATTCTTGATCCGTCAGCATTCTCTGTCATATCAATTCTTGATCCGTCAGCATCCCCTGTCATATCAATTCTTGATCCGTCAGCATCCCCTGTCATATCAATTCCTGATCCGTCAGCATTCTCTGTCATATCAATTCTTGATCCGTCAGAATCCCCTGTCATATCAATTCTTGATCCGTCAGCATCCCCTGTCATATCAATTCTTGATCCGTCAGCATCCCCTGTCATATCAATTCTTGATCCGTCAGCATCCCCTGTCATATCAATTCTTGATCCGTCCGCACTCTCTGTCATATCGGGCGGTCTGGTAGCCTAGTGGTTAAAGCGTTCGCTCGTCACCAATTCTTGACCATGAGATCCTCTATCATATCAACTCTGATCCCGTCAGCTTCCTCTATCAACTTTTGGTCCGTCAACACCCTCTATCATATTAATTCTTGACACGTCAGCATCCTCTATCATATAAATTCTGGATAAAGCCTGGACATGTATAGAATTTGACGATTGAAGACTGACTAGTATGAAGTACCATCATTTGAGCCACCAGCGAAAAAAGCTGTTTGACAAGATTATCCAATATTCTAATTATTCTTATTCTTGATAAAACTTTCAGTTTTTCACACTACAATGTATCCATGACCCCCTTTTCTATCTCTATTTCAGAGAGAGATTGTACGAGAAAAATACGCACAGCCGCACGTGGCCTTCAGATGCGTATGCTGTAAGTGAATACAACATCAGTTCGTCCTGATACACATTCTTCGGACACTGCGCATCTTTCCTTCATTTTCCAGATTTAAAAAAGAAATCATGATGTAAATCCAGACCGTAAATTTAAACATAAATTAATTATGGGTTGAATTAGATTATACACACATATATACATGTACTACAAAACATTTGATAGAGATATTCTGGGTGTCCAGATGAGGGATAAATCTGACTGGATATTTGGAGAATTTGGCATTCGAATAGGAAGCGATTTGAGTATGTTTAGCTTCATTTCATGTAAAAATAAACAAAAGTAAACATGGGGGCATGCGAGAATGCTACGTTGTAGAGTGAGTGAGTGGGTGAGTGAGTATGGTTTTACGCTGCCTTTAGCAATATTCCAGCAATATCACGGCGGGGGATACCAGAAATGGGCTTCACACATTGTACCCATGTGGGGAATCGAACCAGGGCCTTCGGCGTGACGAGCGAACGCTTTAACCACTAAGCTACCCCAACGCCGCGTTTGTGTTAAGGCACTGAATGGTGAATACAGGCTTCACTTCTCAGCCAAAATGGGTCCTCAATTCGCTCAAATGCGTGATTCTGGACAATACTACTCAATTCCTCATCGGCTTACTATGCTAACTCACACTCTCGTGGACGTGGGAAGACAACAACGTATTTAAACGGTTTTCATTATGAAATGAAGCTTAACATGAGTCAGGTCCAACTCAAATTGCATCCTATTCGTAGGGCATCTCAGCTTCATCCAGTCAGACTTATCCACCACCCGGACTTTCAGAGTGACCCTATCAAATGTTGAGTGGTATGTATATATTCCTACTGACCTTGTTTTACAGTTGTATTTGGACATATGAAGTTACCGGAGATTATTACATTCCTATGTTGACTAGAAGTGTATACATTAATATCTTCACTCAGACAATTGACCAAATACCTAAATATTTAAGTCATTTTACAAATTGACTGAAAAATATGTCCCTTTATTTGACAGAATGACTAAAAATTATCAAGCAGTTCACAGGGGATTAAAAACATCGCAGTGGACTAATTTTGCTGGGAGGGAAATATAAAAAACCGCATCGACTTTCGTTTTCTTTTTAACAATTTAAATCATTTTAAGATGAAATTCAACATCCAAATCTTTGGAATTCGTTATCATAAAATGAATAATCAGTAATATTTAGCCGTTTTGTAAATTGCCTCAGTGAAAATTTCAGTCACTTAACGCATCATTTGTGTTGTGTATACGGACTAAAACAATAATGGAAGCAGCTCAGTTATGAAAAAAAAGAGTTGGCAAGTGAACGAAACCCCGATATTTGAAAACAGGTGTGATGTAGTCTGTGTATTTGTTATGAGTGAAATGATCTATTTAACGGTAGTAGGCATTTCGTCAGACGAACGCTGACTGCGTAGTGAGCTCGTCCTCCGCTCACACTTGATGTCACCTATGATAGTATCCGGTTATAGTGAGTGTTAGTCAGTACTGATTAGTCTCTACTACAGTTCTAAGTGTCTAAATTTGACGCACAAGCGACAAACATGATGTCTGATACATTTCCCTATTTTGACTTTTCCGATCTGTGTGTTTTCAAGTGAACCATTGTCGTACCTTTGCATGTGTTTATGATGGTGCCATCAGTGGAGCAGGATACGCTTACCTTTTCACGAACACATGGTATCATCCCTATTTTATAGTGGCTCCTAAACCCTTGCTTATTGTGTTGTCGGAATCGTTCCATCGACTCTGCTGTTAGCAGATATTTTGTTTGATAATGGAACGGGTTTTGGTTTTGACAGTTTGTCCTACCTTTGCATGTGTTTATGATGGGTGACATCAGTGGAGCAGGATACGCTTACCTTTTCATGAACACATGGTATCATCACTATTTGATAGTGGCTCCTAAACCCTTGCTTATTGTGTAGTCGTAATCGTTCCATCGACTCTCATGTTAGCAGATATTTTGTTTGATAATGGAACGGGTTTTGGTTTTGACAGTTTGCGTGTGATGACTTTGTTCTACTTTACAGAATTTGCTGGTTCAATACTTGTGTAACAACAAGAACGAAACCGAGTGTGAACGTTTTGAGAAGATGTCGTATCGGGATCTCAGGTGAGTGAGTGAGTGAGTGAGTGGGTGGGTGAGTGGGTGAGTGAGTGAGTGAGTGAGTTGGGTTTAACGCCGCTTTTAACAGTATTCCAGTTATATCACGGCGTGTCAGCTTAATGTGGGAGGAAAGACCAAGGTGATGCAGGTCTCAGACGTTTACCACTTCGGCGAAACCCACGAGCACGGGTGTGGTGCTGACCCACCTAGAAGCATAATTGGGGCGAACCGGGATTCGAACCCACAATCAGAGGTTTCTGGCGTTCCCAAGGGACGCAACTCTGCACATCGAATCACAGCGCCTTAGACGACTGGGCCTGCCGAGACCGGTACTGAACATTTAACCTCTTGTTGCATGTTATAGTTAAATTCTCCACATGCATACACTGCGCAGGGAGACCCGACGTGACGTACCAGTGCTGTACCAACTGTGACGTGTACGCTGAAAGCCACCGTCACGGCACACTTAATGACAACATTCAATTGCTTGTCGTCAGAGGCGACAAACGGGATCGGGTAGTCAGGCTCGATGACTCGATTGAAACATGTCATCGTATCCCAATTGCGTGGATTGATGATCATGATATCAATCACTGGATTGTCTGGTCCAGACCGCCGTCATATAGCTGGAATATTGCTGAGTGCGGCGTTAAACAACAAACAAACAAGAATAGGCGACAACAACCTTGATAGTTGGCTCATGACATTTCAAACCAAACAGAAAGACAGTCTGGGCGTAACTGTAGGTTTAGCTCGCCCTCTTTGCGTTATCTGAAGTGTTTTATGCACACTTTTTTATATATTTTCAGTCGAAACTTCATGAAGGTGAACATTTTCTTTGATGACTTAAACTACGAAAACATCACAGAAATACCATCTTATGAGGTACGTTTATCATTTCGTTTGTAAGTTCAGTCGACGGTTTATTGGATGTTCTCACTTGTCATATGTCGATGTTAATAACCGATTTATTAATGTTTCAATAAAATATGTACTGGAAATGATGTTACCACGGGTTCTAAGTAGGTGACCACGACACAAATTATAGGTGTCTTGATCAACATATTTTATAGTCTACCTGATTACGTTTTTGCGCTACAAGTATTTTCTGTACATCCAGCTTAATGTGAAATCCTAATTATCATATTTATCACATCAAGTAGATTACAAGAGAATCCATTTAATTACGACACCATCATATTATTACATATATTTAACACATTACTGTGGCACATGTAAATAATTAACACTAATAAATGCTACACAAAAAAGTAACTTACCTTAATGTTAACAACATTGCTGAGCTCGATAACTTGCAGTTACCCCAATAATAATCAGGCGTTCAGAATACTTGAGAAGGGACGTGAACTGAACTAGAATGCTTCCCTACTTGCCTTGAACATTCGTCTTGAACACACTACAAGGCTGTTTTGAAAATATCAACTACAAATTGAACTAAGTGTTAGATATATATCAATCGACACAGATAAGAAGTAAATGCCTTTCCCAAACAAGGAATTACTTGGAAACGTGGATACTCTTGTTTCCAAGGCACCTTAAGGTGTACATGAAGGATATTTTCCCAATGAAAATAGAATTATTTTTGTTTTAGGATGTTCAATTTTATTCCGACATCGGAGGAACAGTTGGCTTGTGGGTCGGCCTCTCGGTATTGAGCCTTGCTGAAGTTGCCCAATTTCTGTGGGAAATAATCCAATACCTTTTGTGTTGGCGCCGACGGAAGACGCAGAAAACAGAAGAGATTGATGACAGGTCGAACTGGGACGCCCGGATGCAGATGCGTGTACCTCAGCCGATTAATAGACTGTCAGGCAGGGACAGAGACAATGGCCTATACTGAGGACGACGTGGCAGGACAATTGTCAGTTCGTGAGCGAGTGAATCATACATGGGTGAACGTTACATACAGCATACAATCCTATCACAGCAGTATGTACTTAATCGGTTGGACCATGCAACTAAGTGGATGATATCATAATCAGCAGTAAGGCAGGTCTCGAAGTTACACTGTTCCTAACTTTAGTTGAATCTTGCAATGTAAATGTAGCACGGCTGACCTATTCCGCCCCGATATACAAACAGGAACTCGTTCCAAATAGGGTAATGCAGTTTGTTAAACTCGGAGAAAACCAACGGGTTAAGTCTGATCCACGGATTCCGGAGATACCTGCTCAGACGAAATCTCCTCAAGAGTTCCCAGATGACCAACCGCCGAAATCTTGAGGAATCTTGGCCATTCCAAAAGACACCTCTGATGGTAATCACGGGCCTATTCTGTCCTGGATTTGTCACGAGGAAAATGTGAAGTGGATATGCCAGCATGTCAGCTCTACATGGTTATGGACTAGACATCTCTAGTCTATCTGTGTGACAAACATCGACACTGACAGTTTACGCCTGTATTTCAACAGGAATACGTTGGGGTGCAACTTTGTGACACATGTTGTAACAGTCATGTTTGTGGGCCGACGTTACATTGACGCCCATTAATGTGTACCGCAAAAGTACCGCGCCAAGTAAATTCGTTCGAATTTTCGATTTACGAATCTTTGGCACATCATGTATCTTGTATTTATATATATTTTGTGTTATTTTCAAATTATATATGTTACATTCGACGTGGCGACATCACGGTATTTTGTTTGATTGCATGCTTGTTGTTTAACGTCGAAAAGCAATATGACGGCAGTCTGTAAATAATTAAGCCTGGGCCAGACAATCCAGTGATTGGGGCACAAATCCATACACTGTTTTATAGGGGCACACATCCACCATTGACATATAGGGATACATATTCATTGACGTAATAAAAAAGCCATTCAGCAATTTATTGTCACACTGGATCACCATTCATGGTGTTTCATATGGGGTCATCCCACCTGAAAATGTGGGCTCACCCAGATCCACTTCGGGAGGCTAATAACCCGGGAGATACATACATTTATGTCTAGATATATATCTACATATGACTGTTCTGATTAAATGTTCTGGAATGTTTACTTGGCAAAACACTCAGATGTTTAGTTATCCTGGGAAAGAAATATGCAACACATCTCGTGTTTACGGCAGAATAATTCAACTTTAACCCTCGCTTGGCTGAACAAACAAGTCCATTATCTTTATATGTCACTGTATTTACACCACTGGAGTCTAGCTGTAACAGGAACGCAATGGACAAAAGCCTTTGGGGATAAACATTGTGATCCATTGTCAATACTCGGCCGATTAGGTTCATTGGATGTCGAACGTCTTTACCATTTGAATTGGTGTATATAGGGGGCACAGCTGGATGGCAGGCAACATAAACATGTTCAACCACGTAGGTAGGTCTGTCTTGACCTTGTGGCCAGTAAACAACCTTTCTACCGATCACATTGTTTTCAAGCTGTAGCCTGAACTCCCAAGGGATCCTCAAGCCCATCTGACTCAATGTGAATGTGGAAACTATGTATGAGAAAATGAGTTGACAGTGAGATATGGTACATGTCATCGTTAAATAACGTGGAACCTAAACTGAAATTCACGCATCTTCGGGACATGTCAACAGGTTATAATGACTGTATGGAAAATTTACCAGTATATTTCCAGCATGCTAAAGACCGCTTTTCACGATGTCACTGATGTTATATTTAGATATGGGATCGGCAGACCTGAGGTAGCCTCGTGGTTAAACCGTTCGCTCGTCACGCCTGTCCTGTTTCGATGCCCGACACTGTGTGAAACCCATTTCTGGTGTCGCCCTCGGTTTTCCCTTCGGTGTTGTTGCTGGTATTTTGCTCAAAACGGCGTAAAAGACATTCTCACACTCAAACGTTAATGTTGCTTAAGCTAATAAAACGACAAAACCGTTTCCATATCCAATAGAAATCTCTACGTAAAGCAGAGTCGCTAGTACGATTTCGACTATATCATGAGCATGTGTTTATGAATCACTATCAAATAGTGATGATACTAGGTGTTCGCGAAAACGTGAGCGTATCCCGCCCAACCGGTGGTAACGTCACAAACACATGCAAATGCAGGTCAATTGTTCACCTGCAAAAACACGGGAACATATGGTACAAGTCAAAATAGGAATTGCATCGGAAAGCATTTTTTTTATGCAGATGAAAGGTTTGTTTCTCTAATTCCAAATAGAGCCTTGAGATGCATATCTTTGAAACTGACAATTTTGTAAAGTTGACGCGTTTACCTAAGCGTAGCACTGGAAAGGGCTGCCAAGAAAAATACTGACATTCCGGGTAGATTTCGGAACAGGTGCAAGGTGAAAAAGGACAGTATCCGAAATTAAGTAATTTACAGATATATTTATTATTTGTGTCATACGAGATCCTTAATACTTTCATCAGCTGATTTGATTTTCTCTGTAAAAATTACTGAGTTGAATAACTGATTGAGAGAGCTGATTTGCTGTAACTCTACCGGATCGCATCGTTTGTGGTCATAGTAGCCGTATGCGACAATCCCCTGAGCTAGGCCCATCAGCAGGATAATAGGGAAAGCAGGGATGGTGACAAGGATAGCCCTGAATTTAAACACCGATGTTTTAACTTCTGTAACTTGTGTTGTAACCAGTGATGCATCTACTAACTAATGTGTACAGCTAGTGCTATGTCAACCGTCCACTGAGTGCAACCAGTGACATATGAAATGACCTGTGTATTACTAGTGTTCTATTAACCGAGCTGTGTACAAATACTGCTACATCCATTAACCTTCACGTACAGCTAGTCTGATATCTTCTACCTCTGTGTACAACTATGTTAAGACCTCTATGTACACGTGGGGCGGGCGGGTAGCCTAGTGGTCAAAGCGTTCGCTTGTCACGCCGAATACCCGGGTTCGATTCCCGACATGGGTACATTGTGTGAAGCCCATTTCTGGTGTCCCCCGCCGTGATATTGCTGGTATATTGCTAAAAGCGGCGTAAAACCATACTCACTCACTCACTATGTACACGTATTGCTATATTCACTTACCTCTATGTACAACTAGTCTGATATCTTATGTCTTTGGGGGACGCGGGTGGCCCAGTCGTCTCAGGCGCCGGGATTCGCTGTGCGGAGTTGCGTCCCTTGGGTGCGTCAGAAACCTATGATTGTGGGTTCGAATCCCGGTTCGCCCCAATTATGTTTCTAGGTTTGGCAGTACCATACCCGTGCTCGTGGGTTTCACCGAAGTGGTAAACGTCTGAGACCTGCATCACTTCGGGCTTTCTTCCCACATTAAGCTGGTACACGCCGTGATATAACTGGAATACTGTTAAAAGCGGCATTCAACCCAACTCACTCACTCTTATGTCCTCTATGTACAGATAATGCTATACTCTGCAAACAAAGACCTGTACCCACCTTCTGGTCTCCCTGAGTGACTTGGTGGACGAGATACGCTTGAGCACGCCGCACTAAGCAATATTCCAGCTATATGACGGCGGTCTGTAAATAGTCGAATCTGGACCAGACAATCCAGTGATTAATATCACGAGCATCGATCCACGCAATTGGGATCGATGACATGCATCAACCAAGTCAGCGAGCCTGACCACCCTATCCCGTTAGTCGCCTCTAACGACAAGCAAAGACGCCTTTTAAAGGCAAGCATAGGTTGTTGAAGACCTGTTCTAACCCGTATGATATATCTGCTATTAGCAGATATTTCTTATGATTATGGTAAAGGTTTCGACGCTTGTAATAATTATTTCACTTGTCACCTACAGCATATTTCAACAGCAAACAGTTCAATTTATGTAGTTTTTCGATAGTGTAGTTTATTCAAGAAGAATGTATGCCATTGGCCCATATTTACAACGGTGGTCCATTATTACATAAATATAACATTATTACACTGGAGTTGACATGGTGTTCATCATGTACACCAGGCAATTTGTTGGGAATTAAACACACACTAATTAGGATCTATCATACAGGTTGGATGGTGGACTAACATGGCTTATTGTTTGTTGCTGTTTACCGTTGATGTTGATATAAGAATTTTACAATTATGAAGAGAGGGTTGCACAGCATACTTTTTAGGTATATACTTTTTACGAAGAGAATCATATTTTTAATACTAATATAAAATTATATTCATCTTTTTCATAACTGTTTTTACAATTGATACACCACTTGCCTTCCAAAGGTATGTGATTTTTAATATATGTGAACGGCAACGAAATCATGCTCGTGCAAATCTAAATTTGGAAAGAGTTCTACATTTTAAATAGGGCTCAACACCAACTGGAATTTTGAAATAGGTGTCGTGTTTTGTTTTTGATTTGATAAACAACGTAGCATGTCAGTCTTGTTCTTATGAACACTTTAGTCTAAATCCAAATTGCATTTCCTACACATAACCGACAATAACAGAAAAATCGAAAAGCTATATTTTTTATGCCTGGTTAATCTTACCACCAGCTAATCCCTGCAAAAGTATATTGTAGCATTTTTAGGAAATGTTCCCGGCATACACATCAATTTTGATCAGTATTTAATACAACGCTTAAATGCAAAGATGTACAGGGAGAACCTCCAACATTCCCAAGGTACAACGTGATTAGAAGTGGAAGATTTCACACTTAAAAAACGTTAACAAGCAAATTTGTGAATAATTACTATACTATCCACATTATCGAGACCCCATAATTCAGCTCATTTCATATTTGTATCTTTGTTACAATATGTGGGCGAGAAATTCACAACTTACACTTACGTGTTAACCCTACAGTGATGACAACAGCTGTTTGCGAAACAGGGAAGATGCCCGTGGAGTTAGCGAAGAACACTTGGTTCGTTAGTTGTTGTTTATACGTTTTTTGAGTATGGGGACATATTCAAGTGTGACAAACCAAATGGCACCACTGGCAAATGTATCTATACCCCAGCTCTCAAAGAGGCGCAAAAGGTTCGAAACGGCCGGCTGGATGTAAACTGAACATTTGCACAAAAAAGATGTTCTTGATATGGTTTCCAATGTTTACAAAGGTGAACTAGTAAGAATAAGTTTATACTCTTGATGAAACAAGCAAATTGTGTAGGTTACAAAACCTGAGCATAAAATTAGGAACAAATACAATAATTGTAGATGTAACTAGTAAATGCAGGAAATATAGGATTAAAGAGTGCATTAATTTATTAAATAAACATACTTTCGTGGCTGGTACATACATATACGAGAGAGTAGAGCACATAACCGATATTTAAAGCATGCATATGATGACACTCAATCGACGACATTGCAACAATCTTGTTTATTCTACACTGAAGAAAGATGTCTTTCTCACAAAGATTATACTCCCTCTGCTTTTATGTTTTGGGAGAATTGTTTTTGCCAAACCATTTTTATAATTGACTATGTTTCCGATATCAAACATGAATTTAACAAGGAATATTTAACATGAGATTAATTATGGCATTGTCAAAGCGTAAAAAGGCAAATGTAGTAAATGACCATAAACTATTATCTCAATACAATTTTTTAAAACAAAAGTTAGAAATTGTTAAAATTAGGAAGTTCTTAAATTTTAAGTACATGAAAAGTGGGAACATGCTTCAATTCGGTGGCCCCATGTTTCAAAGAGTATACCCACTCGTCAAATCGAGTTCCTTGGTAAACCTATTGAAAAAACTCGCGATTCACATGGATTACCGGTCTTCGCGATTACTCAGCACCTACTCGTTCAGATATATTTGCAATATAACATGTCATACCTTCAATGTGAAGTATGTTTTGTTATCGAAAAGAAAACAACAACTTAATTTAGCTTATTTTAATTCTAAAACGCTTACTATTTTGAATAAGTGAGTCAGCTGTGACCAACAACGTAATGGCATGATCATTTGAAAATGCAGCCTTTTGAAATCAGCAAAACTTCAATCATTGCAGTTGTAAACATAAAATACCGGATAAAGCTTAATGGCTTAATGTCCAACAGGTAAATAGTAAGTAATAATGATAAATTTATTATCATTTAAACATACCCTTTTTGTTGTGGTTTCTTATTGTTATAAGGTTTATATATGTAAGTATCATTATAATACACCAAGGCGAAATTGATTATTTATATTTAATACACACACACACTATTATTCATGTATTCATGTATCCAACTTCTAAATGCCCATCGGGGGCACGGGTGGCCCAGTCGTCTAAGGCGCCGCGATTCGCTGTGCAGAGTTGCGTCCCTTGGGAACGCCAGAAACCTATGATTGTGGGTTCGAATCCCGGTTCGCCCTAATTATGTTTCTAGGTTTGTCAGCACCATACCCGTGCTCGTGGGTTCACCGAAGTGGTAAATGTCTGAGACCTGCATCACTTCGGGCTTTCCTCCCACAATGAGCTGACACGCCGCGATATGACTGGAATACTGTTAAAAGCGGCGTTAAACCCAACTCACTCACTCTAATTATAATGCCATTTAAAGACTTCACACACACTTTTGATTAACAAATGATATTGTTCTATGCGTGTTGCGCATCACGCATGTGGACATGACAATATTTCAGTGGAAACTGTTATGGATTAACCTTTTAATTAGCGTTGCATTAATTTTGACGTTGCATCAAGGTAGTATATTAATGAACCGTAGAGAACAATATGATCGTAGCATCCATTTAAGGTATCTTCGCATTTTGTACAGGTTTTTCTAACACGCCAGGTATGTTATTATCACTCATCTTTAATGGTTAGCGTTGTGTGTCATCATTGCCAAAAGGAATTCTTCGCAAGACCATTGTGCTGTGAACAATGCACGCACGCACGCACGCACGCACGCACGCACACACACACACAAACACACAAACAAACACCTACACACCTTCCTATATATAAATCTCCAAAAGGTAGAGTATCATTAAATATAAATGTTTTGAGCGGTCGTCAGAAGCAATATCAGCTTTGACTACGAGACTTCCACATTGATAACATCTATGTAACATGTGTGGGTATGACATTTAGGCAAGAATTGAGCACTAATTGTCACGAATTTCTTCATGCACATGAATTAGAACTTCTGCTCGGGATAATCAAAACAAGGTAATTGGGCCAAGAAGATTAACTTAAGCTTTCGCTATATCGATGCTCTGATATCGTCCAATAATTGTCAAATAGCCAATTCCCACAGATTAACCAACCTGAACTAGAAATAAAAGAAACCAATGAGAACGCTTCATCTGCTTCATATTTAGATCAATGCATAAAGATTTAGATGACAAAACACTTTCCTCAATACTGTATGACAAGAGGGATGACTTCAGTTTTCCAAAAGTCAACTTTCACTTTTATGTCGAGCACCAACCCAGCAGCTCCAGTCTTAGGTGTCTACATTTCACAGCTTTTAAGGTACAATCGAGCATGCTCTTTTTTCGAAGATTCCAAAGATCGTCATACGACTCTTGTTCAGAAGTTGTTTGATCAAGGTTACTATATTCAAAGCACCAGTAAAAATTTCAAATACTTTGATGGTAGACATGTGAAGGACCTTTCCCAAGTTGAGGCATCAGTGACAAAAATGATGTCTAATAAAATTTCCTATTTTTACCTATGTTCCCGTGATACTTACACATCTTGATGCCATAATTGGAATCGCACAATGGACTCTGCTTTATGCGGTGAGTTCCTATTATTATGAAAAAGGTTTTGTCGCTTTTTTTAGATTGTGACAAAGAGAAAAGATACATTTTGAAGGCTTATTAACTTGTCACATATTGTCTAGACATTAAAAAAACCCCGATAAACGTGTTATATTTGCTTGAAAAAAGGCAACATTGTATGACAGCTTCTGTACTTATCCTATCCTAGTTGAAGAATGAAATAAGACATCACGATTAACTTAGATGAAACTAAGGTAACTAGTGCATTGAGTCAAGTAAGAGTTCCTCAAGTCATGGTCCGCCAATGCACACTGATACTACGTTAGGTTCCGCCCTCCATGAACATCAGTACCAGGGAAAAGTGAATGTGAAACTTACAAAAAAATTATCACTTGTATAATTGAAGATTACACATCAGGTAAAGTGACACCGGCAGGAGAATTGTCATATTTTGACAACGAATTCAGCTGCCTTAAACCATTTGGCTACCAGTTTGAAGTATTATAAAACCAACACGAGCCTATTTTCTCATGTTATCTCGATCCCCTGTCAATGTTGCATAGGGAAAATACTTATCGGCTCGTTTGGTGTACACACATTTACGAGGACTGCCAGTCGTTTGCAGGAAGGAAGACAGTCTAACACTTCCCAGATACAATATGTCATTTAAGTGTAGATAAAAGAGTAAGTTAACGGACTTGAAGGTTATTTGTTTATTAACTGCATATTTTCATACGGATTATAATACAGGAATAACGAATCAGACACACACGTATAATTCGCAGCAGTTTAACAATCCAGTTGTCACATATTACTGTGCCCTGCCAGTACAGCTTCGGTAGCAATAAAGGAACGTGTAGGAACTCTCTTGTCCACACTAAAGTCTTCACCAAGCACAAGATCACCTTCCACTGGCGTCTGAAAGTCAACAGAAACATGATCTCGGTACTGGATACAGAACCACAGGTGGGTTGTGATAATTCCACAACTTATTGGACAAGGGACGAATCTCACCAAATCATTTTCATAAGTACATCATGCACATACAGAAGGTTGCGTACAAGTGCGCTGTATACTTATGTATAATTTTCAAGCTTGTTTGCAGTGGATGAGGTGGTTGGTTCTTCCAAGTGAGCGAGTGTTGGTGTTGAGCATGGATGAATGTTCTGCGCATTACAGAAGAAAGTCAGAGCAGTATCGAGAAATTCAGAAATGCGCCCATATTCATAGAATGGCCTTGATAATAGCGGACCTTCCATACTTACCAGTTCGTAGTCCCGCGACCTTGTGGGTTTGGGCGTTGTCCTCAGTGAGTCGGGTACACACCAACACTGGATGTCCTCCAGACGGATGAGGCAGTCGGGATCAATTGGCATCTCGTTGCCCCCTACAAAAGATTGTGTGTTTAGGGTCTAGATCTAGAAGTGTAAGGAGAGCACTTTGCCCAACGTAAAGTACTGTCAATTCAGTGTTATTCCAAGACAATGTCTATGGGATCAAGTTAGTTTAAAATTGACGGAAATGGAATGTTTTATATAGCAGTAACACACAAACAAACAAAACAAACAGAACAAGAAACAAAAACAACAAACATGAAAAAGGCAAAACAACAGGCAAAGTAAAACGAAAACGGCACCCCAAATCTTCAATTTGTTTGTATGATAATAACATATTTATAATAATAAATGGAATGAACTGTAAATAGAAAATATAAAAATGTGAAAATGTGAAATAGTTGGATTGGACAAAAATGAAAGATGGGAACACTTCAACCAATTGTGGGATGAAGGACACCACACCCACCTGTCAGGAAACTGGTAACCAACCCGACCAGCAATACAGTCCCAATAGCCATCGTGGAGAACAGCGTGTAGGAAAGGTTGTACAGGGTATCCAGGTCAGATCTGTAGCGATATGGTCATGCTACGTAGCAGTAATACGAGTCTATATATCCATATTATATTTAGAAGATAAACGTTATGTGTTTTCAGATTTTCGGGTTCTATTGTATATTCCATATGTTTATCGACATTGTAAAATACAAACGTTATCAGTCATAAGAAGTGTTTACTACAAGCACAGTCCACTGTGTGATCACGAGTATATCATAAGCAAGTGTTCATGAATAATGAATCAAATAGTGTTGAGACCAGGCGTTCGCAAAAGGTGATATCCTGGCCCACCGATGGCATCCGTCATAAACACATACAAAGGCAAGTCAATTGTTCACAAAAAAGGGACAAATTCAATAGGTAATTGCATCGGACATGACTTTTGTCACCTATGCGTCAACTTGAAAATGTCCTCAGATGTCTACTATAAAACCTTGAATATTGTAAACCTGATCTAACAACCTTTGTGCAAGAGTCGTATGATGATCTTCTGACGTTGTGAAAATGTAGTCATAAAGGCTGGACGTGGTGGAATATTGTTCGACATAAAGGAAAGATATCAAATGAAGTTATCCCTCTTGTCATACAGTCTTGTGGAGAACGTTTTGTCCCTCAAAATCTTTCTGCATAGATCCAAATTAGAAAAAGATGAGGCGCTGTCATTGGACTCTATTATTTCTACTTCCGGTCGGTAAGTCAGTGGAAAGGAATGAGCTATTTGACCATTATTGAAAATTATCAGATCATTGATATACCTCAAGCTAGATTTTAATTTCTTGTCTAAAGTTACTTGTTTTGATATAGGCAAACCAATCGGAAATTCTGAGTTATATGCATAAATAAAAGCGACTAAAACGTTTCGATGATGATAAGACATCTCTTTAAAGAGTCCGTTGTACGATGATTCCGATTATAACATGGGGATGTGTTTATACATCACTATCACCGAAAAGGTGAGCGTTTCCTGCTCCACCGGTGATCCCTTCACAAACACATGAATAGGCAGCGGTTCAGGAAAAAGGAGAACACATTTGGTGCTCATGGGGATACGTCCTTTGTGCCGTAATGTCCTTTCCCAAAATTTCACACAGATGTCATCAATGGCGACCACGTTAAGTAAATATACAACGTCAACGGCTATGAACAACAAGTCTCGTTTATCTGTAGAACAGATTTCACTGTGCGTAAAGGATAAAATAGAGGTGAAAATTATTTGAACGGATGAATATATGTAACAAATGCCCAGCTGATCAAGGAATAAAGTTTTCCCTTAAGTTGTGGGATAGCGGTGTACAAAGTTGAAGCATAAAATATTTTGACAAAATTGAATTTGTTCTTTTCTGAGATTGCATAAAATTCAACCAAATCCTTTGAGTTTTTCAAATATAAAACAACGGCTGATTGATATATATTCTCAAGAGTGGCATGACTCTATTTCTTCGTCAAAATATCTGTCACATTATGCAAATTTGAAATCACTTTTACAGCCAGAATTTTACATCAATAATCTCACGAATAAATCACTCAGAAGAGCATATTGTAAATTCAGAATATCGCTACACGGTTTTAAGATTAACATGCTACGAAAGTTAAAACATACAAATGAAGACTTGAGTCTATATCTATGTACCCACTGTAAAGGGAGGCAATTACAGGATGAATTTCATGTTTTGTTTATATGTTCAAAATATTCTTCTGTCAGAAACCACTATTTGCCTTGGTTATCCAATGTCCATCATGATAATCACAGTTTATGTAATCTAATCAACTCCAAAAATATCAACATTGTAAAGGCTTTGGCCTTATACTTAAATCATGTATTTAATGTGAAATAAGACTACCTGTATTTATTTTCCTGACACCACGTGACGCAGCAATTATTGTAATTGTAATTGTACTCTAGGCCACCTGGCTCAAAATACTGAAAAAAGAATCTTGAATCTTGAATCTTGAACAAAGGATGATTTAGAGTCAAATCAAAAGTTGATTCTATTGATGCGTGGTTTTGGCAGATTTCGTCCTCAGTTTCCATACTAGCGCACATTCTCTCAACGTTAACTCTCTTAGTTGTGAGACAGACATGATGTCATTCTGTAATGCTACATCATCTTGGAATGCGTGGGTGTCGTGAAACAATGGACGATGTCACAAGATTTCGTGAACTCGCCTGGCGAGCAGAATGTGGGAACGTAATATTTAAATCATGCGGTATCCATTTTGCCAAGCCAAATTTTAGATTGAGGAAAAAAGATTCCCCTGAAGAAAATTAATTATACGCAGTGAAAAGTCCGAAATATTGCCGGGGTTCGAATCCCATTTAAACAATCAGATTGTAACACGCACTCTCATTTGTTTTAGACGTTTTCATAGAGAACCTATGACATGTAAATGTACAGCCATTTGTACAATTTCTTGAATGTTACATAATGTTTCTCAAATATGCATGACTATTTTACAAAGAGAGATGGAAGTCTCATCACACAGCAATGGTTTAAGTACCTGCTTTTGATGACTTCATTCTGTTCCTGGACGATGGTGGAGGTAAAATTGACAAAGGATGATGAAGTCACATTGAACCCTGGGCAGTTGTCTGTTGGGGCCGAAGGAAGGTAGGTGCTGGCTGATCCGGCAGAGGAGAACATGGATCCTATGGACAACCACAGCATGAGGCTAACACCTGCCAGCAGGCCTGTGATGGCACCCTGTTCATTCAAGGAGTGAGTGAGTGAGTGAGTTTGGTTTTACGCCGCTTTTAGCAATATTCCAGCATTATCACGGCGAGGGACACCAGAAATGGGCTTCACACATTGTACCCATGTCGGGATTCGAACCCGGGTCTTCGGCGTGACGAGCGAACGCTTTGACCACTTGGCTACCCGACCGCCCCTCATTCAAGGAACATTCTATTCACGAAGATATATATTGTGCCATAACTTGTGCTATAAGACAACCCCCAAAACAAATACAACTTCCTTATTCTCTACTATCTACTTATTTCTTATATTTTAGAGCAAACAAGGATATGTTTTACCTTAGTGTTGACAAACGGAAACAAAGCTCCTAGGTAGAACAGAGCATTCAAAGGACTTCTAGCAATGGACAGTAGGGTGTAGACGATCTGAAACAGAATATGCACCCGAGGCAAATGGTTAAACACAGATTTGAATTGGTATTCTGGTGTGACATTAGTGGGTTACAGCAATTTATCCCAGAGTCTTAAAGTGAGAAAACGGGCATAGGGTATAGGGATATTCCTTCTATACAGAGGCAAAGAGAAGAATGAATGGGTTCATTCCCATAGAACTCATTTTGGGAATCGAACTCAGTAGTTTTAACTATTCGGCTACCCAACCGCCCCTGACGTCTTAAACATATATATTACATAATGAGCTTAGATCAAGTAGCCTAACGAACATGACATTTAGTTGGAAAATTAATAATGACTGTAAGCGTCAAGCGATCGATCTTTGTATTATCGTTTATAATTAGAATTTTAATTAAATCTTCCGTAAGGTTGATTAACGTGGACAGTGGACCAACCTGGTTCAGGGTTTTCGTTCCAGCTTCAGAGACGACAACAGCCAATATGCAACTGAGAACGCCACACATCACCACTGGGTATAAATTAAGTAGTCAATTATAGGAGTTTGGTAATATAACACACACAACGTAAACACTTCATTTTGGCATCTTTGTTTGTCATCACGACATGTATGACATCCAGCTAAAAACAAAATGGAGAGTCATTCGAAACGGTTTGCTTGGATCATGTAAAACATCTGCCTTCTTAAATATTATCCTCCCCCTTCCACACACGGTCCCCAGTATGGTGGTCTACCTTCAGTTGCTGGCGATCTATAGCCCGTTTTTATCTTGTATCGTAATGTATAGTGCTATTCTCTTTTACTATTCCGTACTAGTTTTATATCTTTTTCTGTGATAAATCTAGTTATTTTACTGTCCTTCGTTGACAGGTTTTTGTATAAGCTTCACTTTATGTATTTTGTTTAACTGTTGATAGTCACGATATGGCTGAAATATTGCCAATGTGACTTAAAATTTTAACTCACTCACTCACTTCCATACACACACATACACACATACATGGACACAATGAATATTGACTCTTAAATGTTTATTCCCTAAGTATGAATTGCTAAACACAATCACAAAGTTATACCCCGCGTCTTTCAAATGAGCCTGCTTAATGAACTCTGTTCAGCGCACTACGTTGAGATGTGAATTTACTTCTGTTCTGTATCTATTACCTGTTGCTTTGGCGACTAGGACTCCTCTGAACTCTGACATATTTGGTCTGCAGGGTTTGACGATGTCGTGCCATGTGATATGGGCAACAGCTGACAGACAGGACGATATAGTGCTGCAACATCGGGGTATAATCCGTATATCACACACTTCAAACACATATGAAACTCTCACAACAAACTCTTAAAATGTTGCCCCAAATAATATATTCTACCAGTTGAAACCTTTGGGTCAGATTATGTATGGAAACGTCTGAGTGGTATTAGATGATAACATTAACAAAGCCGTTGACAAATTATCCCAAATTATGATTCACAGTGCTGTAAATGGAGGAGATTATGATACAACATCTAAGCAAACTCCACAACCTCCTTGCTTTGATGATGACTGTGTTCAATACAAATCTGAACAATATGGACTACTGAACAAGTTACGAAAATATAACTGTGCACCAAATTTGCAAATATATATTGAAGCAAAGGCAGATTATAAAATGTGCTGTAAAAGAAAGATGAACATCTATAGTATGAAAATGAGATAAATGCAACAGCAAAGGACAATGACTGTAAGAGATTCTGGGTTACACTTACACGTGCTCTTCAAAACAAGAACTCCAGTAATACAATATCACCTGACGTTTGGGCATTGTATTTTATAAATTTATTGAACCCTGCAACTACAGACGATTGTTCTGAATTAGATCATTCGGTTTTCCAATTCCATGATGACCATTCTTGTGAAAATTGTAGTATATATTTTATTGATGATTTATCAAACGAAATCACTCCATACAAGATAGAAGAAGCCATTTCCAATCTGTAACTCGGCAAAGCACCTGGAGAGGACGCCAGAGATTTTTAAGGGTGCGGGACCTTTTCTCATTCCCTTTTTGAAATTACTATATAACAAAGTATTAGACACAGGTATTTTATCTTCTTTGATGAACTTGGGTATGATTATCCAAATATTATACAAATCTCGAAAAAAGTTTATTGTGCTTTCGTTGATTTTAAGAAAGCCTTCGATTTTATGAATAGGCAAAAGTTATTGTATTTACTTGTAATCAAGGGTTGTCATGGGAAAATGTTTAATGTTCTGCAAAGTATGTATTCATCAGTAAAAGCATGTATAATGACTGACAAGGGTAAAACAAACTTTTTTCAACGTCAAGAGGTGTAAGACAGGGATGTATTTTGAGTCCTGTTGTGTTCAGTTTCTTCATCAATGAACTTCTTATTGAAATTCATAAACAATGTTATTATGGTATATTTGTGCATCAAGATATTGTTGATATTTTGATGCTATTGTTTGCTGATGATATTGAAATGTTTTCATTTGCAGTAAGTGGTTTACAAAAACAATTAAATGTATTACAATCATGTTGTTTGAAATGGAGTGAGTGAGTTGTGTTTAACGCCGCTTTTTACAATATTCCAGTTAAAACACGGCGTGTCAGCTTAATGTGGGAGGCAAGCCCGAAGTGATGCAGGTCTTAGACGTTTACCACTTCGGTGAAACCTACGAGCACGGGTGTCATGCTGACAAACCTAGAAACATAACCGTGGCGAAGCGGGATTTGAACCCACAATCATAGGGTTCTGGCGTTTTAAACAAAATAAGTTTATATCATTTTTAATAGCATGCAACACTTTTGATTGTAAAACTGCACCAATATTACTACATGGTTCGGAAAAGTGGGGAACAAAATATTATGCTGCCATCGAAAAAGTACATACCTCAAAAGTCAAACGTTTTTTGGTAGTAATGAATACGCCTCAAATAAAGCAATTCTTGGTGAAACTCGACGCTGCTATATGTTTGTGCATAGCCAAGTAAGAGTAATTAAATACTGGATAAAGTTGCTAGAATGGAATAATGCAGATCTCCTCTTCAATGTTAATGTTAATGCAGTTGGATGATAAAGGTAACCATAACTGGGCATCTGAAGAAAGAAATCTATTATTTACACGTTTTTATTTTGTGCAGATTGCTCGGGAAATTTGTAACATTCAAGGGTTTATGGGAATATTTAAGCACCGAATGAAAAATATATTTGCACAAAACTGTACGAAACTGTTTCATCTTCGCATTACCTTAGCAATTGTAATATATTGAAGTCACATCTTTAACAGGAAATGTATTTATCTGTCTTACAAGACAGGTCATTAATAAGATCTTTTAGTAAATTTAGAATCTCATTACATAATGTCATTGTAAATATGTGTCGTAAATCGAAAGATATTGATGCTATTAATAGTGTTTGTACCTGACAGAGGTGAAATTGAAGATGAACTCCAGGTCTTTTTAAGTGTAACAAGTATTCCAAGTTAAGATCTACATATCTTCCTTTCTTGAATCATGACTATACGAAATGTTAATGATAAATGTTATCAACTCACAAAATATACATATTATCCTTTCACTGGCTACTTATATAAAACATGTTTTAATATCAGGTCCTAGAAGATATAATTTCTGTATATTGACGTGACATCATATTATGAGTTAGTATCAATTGTTTGTACTTCACATGATAAATGTTATCAACTCACAAAATATACATGTTATCCTTTCAGTGGCTACTTATATAAATCATGTTTTTATATCAGGTTCAAGAAGATGTAATTTCTGTATATTGACGTGACATCATATAATGAGTTAGTATCAATTGTACTTTATATGGCCATAACACTGAATAAACCTGTCTGACTGCCCAAACAACCTGAATATATCGCATTACACTTTTTAATTACGTTAAAACGTGACAGGCTACTATATTATGCGCTCGTTATAGCTCAAATACGTGAAGTTAAATCATAGATACATCAATGATTGACTGAGTGATTAATTAAGATTTTCACACACACACACACACATACATTAGAGTGAAAACTATTGCAACTAAAACGTTGGTAGTGTTGATGTGTTTACCTGAGGGAGGCACTGGAAAGGGCTGCTAGGAAGAATCCTGACATTCCGGGTATATTGTGGAACAGGTCCAAGGTGAAAAAGGGGAGTATCTGAAATTCAATAATTTACAATACATGTGTCATGTGTCAAACAATATCATGAATATATTCATCAAATAAAGTATTGTTCCTGTGAGTTGAATGAACACCTACCTGATTGAGAGAGCTGATTTGCTTTGACGCCACCGGATCGCATCGTTTGTGGTCATAGTAGCCGTATGCGACAATCCCCTGAGCTAGGCCCATCAGCAGGATAATAGGGAAAGCGGGGATGGTGACAAGGATAGCCCTGAATGTAAACACCGATGCTTTAACAGGAGACTACACTACGCGGCCCATTATCTGCCGAGGTCTAGAATTGTAATTATGAACATGTGTGAAACGTATGCTTTTTCTGTGTAATTAAGGGTATTATACACTGCTAAATTGGTACACGCTCGTGCATCGTAACACAAGAACTAGATCAAGAAACTGGAAAAAATTAATAATTAAACTAGTCTCCGATATTCATCGTTAGCTTTAATCGGTATTGTTTCTCGTGATGTCTCTTCCAACCAATGTACAACTAGTGCTTTCTCCAATGACATCTGTGTATAAGTAGTGCAATATCAACGATCTCTGTTTTCAACTTGTGTGACATCCATTGACTTCTGTGTAGGACGAATGCCATAACTTCTGGCCCAGTGTAAAACTAGTGCTATATCCACTGACCTCTGTGTTCAACTCGTGTGATATCCATTGACTTCTGTGTAGAACTAAAGTGATACCTTCTGGCCTCTGTGTAAAACTAGTGCTGTATCCACTAACATTCGGGTTCAACTAGTGCTGTATCAACTGATATCTGAGTATCTGTGGCTTATCTCCCTTGACAGACGGGTGTGCTTCAAATCCAGAGAGGAAATAATAAAAATCAAGTTTGTGGTATAGATATACATCAGGAAGAACATATTCAGTACTTTGGGAATATTTGTAGAAGCATGGAGAGCTTGGAGCGGCAAGTGTGTGCTCCCGGGAGGCCACAGGTAAGTAGAAACAATTTCCCCTATACCCCTGTGTCCGACTCGGCGGAGGGCACAGCAATGGCGTACACGATTTTGTTGTGTACACCTGCTCTCATCACAATGTGGACTATGGGATCGTTCACTGCATCATCTATGGAATATGCGATGTCTACCTTGGCTTTTGTGTCACCAACGTGTTTTAAAGGTGAGATATTTATGAATGTACAGGACCAAGCAACCTTGTTTACATAGCCAAAACTGGACAGTATCCACGAAGTTATGACACATCCTTTTGTTTCATTGTGACATCGAATCGAACCCGGGATATACTTGTTGAGACTTCGCAGGATTTGAATCAACTTTCAGAAATCAGATTACAGATTATCAAGAGACATACGATCTTTGGCAGAAGAAGTGCATTCACTAAGGCAGAGGTATGTCAAATAAGAACAGAAGTCAGTGTAAACAGGGAAGAACAGGCTGTTCTCAGACGAGATGTGAATGAAGTGTCTGACAGTATTAGTGACCTTGAGTCTAGAGTCGAACTCCAGGGAAGACAGTTAACAAAAACTAAGTGGATTGTATTTTGGGTACCAGAGGCAATAGAGTAAGCTTATAAAGTGTGCAAGGAAAGGATTCTAGACATATCATATTAGGAACTTGCTGATAAAGACATGGAACGTGAATACAGGATATCGAGCACAACAAAAAATCTACCCCGCCAACGTATCGTGTAAATAGCGCACTAGGATGATAAAATCCAAACTTTTGGAACACCCTGAGAGAAATGGGATATAGAGTGGCTTATGACTTAACATACTCCCAGCGACATGAGCCAGGCAGGTTACCTAGTTAAAATCCAGATAAGAGATATTGTTTATAAAGGAGGCAAACTTTTGGAGGATGTGAAGGGAAATAAAGAGATGTGAGATAGTCAGGAGACTCCAGAGAGAACTACAGCACACAGACGGGAGAGAAGGGGTAGCCAGGACATCACAACTCCACCCTCACAAGAACACAGACGGGGAGGCTCACACACAGGACCACGACTTCTAAGTTCTCGCTCTGAGGCCTGGGGCAGGACAACAACCTGCTTGGGGTGCGACGAGACCGAGCGTGATTGTAGGGCGCCTCATGCTGATCCAACAAACGATGTCGATGATTGTCGATATAGAACATTTGTTTTCGGGAATGTTTCAGGACTGAATTCTAAATAAATAGATCAGTCTTTTACTGATTACTTAAACTCATTTGACTTTATCGGCATAACAGAAACATGGATATAAGATATAGATATAAGTTTGATATTTCCAGGATTCAAGCTATGGATCAAAGAAGCTGAACAGATTTCCAACGGTCTAATTAGTTAGAGAACAGCTTCCTGAATATGTGAAATTGTCTAAAGTTTACGACTGTGGCATTTCTATTTTGTTAGATAAAACCTTTTTGGATGTAAGACATATATACTATATACATGTGTTTATGTTCACCCTGAATATTCAACTTGGTACACAAACCTTTTAAGGCAATAGAAAATTGGATACATGTATTACAAAATAACTAACTTGATGTATTAGCACATTGTGATGATGTGTGTATGATGATTGGGAGAGGGGAAGACTTGAATGCCAGAACTGGCACTGAATCTGATTTTGAAGAAGATGATATCCTTGAATACCCCGAGGAACATGATAACAATGTGTAGGGATTTCTGTTAGATAATTTCAGCAGCTTAACTTTTTATAGAGATTTATTTTAAAATAATTTTGGTAAGAGATTACTAGATTTATGTAGTATACTGAATATACATATTATGAACGGAAGAAGCGGGTCAGACGCCGACGTGGGAGATTGTACTTTATAGGAAACCAGGGTGCGAGTGTGGTGGATTGTGTTATTGCCTAGTCCGAGTTGTTTGATTTGTGCCATAGCTTTGCCAAACGTTTCGAGGCGAGTCATCACACCTTCCAGGCTTGACTCGTTTACGTGCGCTTCAAGTAAGTGACTCAACACCACGCAATACACACATCAATGATCCCTTTAAATTTGGCGACTATACTTGTCGTAAAAGGCGACTAACGGGATCGGGTGGTCAGGCTCGCTGACTTGGTTAATACATGTCATTGATCCCTATTGCGTGGATCGATGTTCATGATGAAAATCATATATATCAACATTAGGAGGGAAGTTATATGCTACAGTTTTGGATTTTGCTAAAGCTTTTGCCTCGGTGAAAAGGGTTAACTTGTGGTCCCCCTTTCAAAGACATGGGCTAAGTAGCAGAATTGGAAAGTTATTGCGTTCGTTGTATAAAAATGTAAAGGTATGTGTTAGAAACAATGGCGCTGTTTCAGATAATTATATAAGTAACACGGGTGTCGACAAGGGTGTACATTAAGACCCTTTCTATTTTCCTTTTTCAAACATCAATCATATCCAAAATATTTTCATTGATGGAACACAACTCACCCCAAAATATTAATTATATATGCTAATTTTGCTTGTTTTCGAAAACGATATAGTCATGTTCTCTAACACAATATCTGGCTTGCAAAAGCATATGCATGTATTAGAGCGTTATTGCGACGGCTCACAATAAATCCAGAGTTTTAGTTTAAAAAAAATGGTGGTAGTGTATCCAGAAATGTAAAATGGCATTATAGAGGGAAACCTGTAGAAGTTGTTTTATTTTATATATTCTGAGGAGCGTGTTTTTCAAGAAGATTCACTTTGTCAAAGAGTGCATGCCAAGAATCTTTTGTTGGCATATTAAAACGTATTAGAGTTTTGACATTATTACATATGATGTTTGCTTTAAAATATTTGATACAAAAATGAACCCGAATCTATTGTATGAATCAGAAGTTTGAAGCCAAGAACATTTGGATGTTATTGAAAAGATACATTTATATGCAAGTAAAACGTTTTGGGGTGTAACATCTAGCACACAAAACACAAGGGTATATGGTGAATGCGGAAGGTTCCCCACGTATATATAGTTATTTAAATGTTATTGATTATTGGGTCAAGTTATAAAATTTACCATCTACAAGATACCCTAGAAGATGTAACAATGTGATGCTTCTCTAGGATAGCCATGGGAAACTAAATTGAGCATCAAAAATTAAAAACCTGTTATACGAATATGGATATGGATATATTTGGTTACAGCAACATGTAGACATGCCACAACATTTTTCAGACGTTTGGCAAATACCTTAAAAGATATGTACATCCATAAATGGCATGGTTCCTTTTCCAGTTCTAGAAATGCAAATTACTATACATCTTTTTATGAGTATGTCCAGTATAAAATGATGTAAGAGCTAAATCTTTCTACCACAACCCAAATGGGTACAAAGTTAGTAAATTAATGACATGTGATTGTACAGAAACTGTGAGAAATTTACCTATGTTCATTTATCATGAAACTGGGAAAATGTATGACTTTGTGACACGCCCGAGACAATGTACCTTCGGTCATTGGCCTCATCAGTACCAAGAATAAAGCCTGACTAATATCCGAGTACAACTTGTGCTATACCCATTCTCAAATCTGTAGAACTAGTGCAACATGCAATGACTTGTAAATGCAACAAGTGCAATAATAAGCAACTTCAGTGTTTAAAGATCGAACTTTCAATCGCAGACTAAGGTAAATCGACCCTTGACAAACAACTGTATGGATCCTCCGGCACTAAATGTTCCTAAACACGACGGTCGTTTTCATTGGATATAGCTGACTTGAACAATGCGAAATGAGAGCAGTCTGAAGCAGTGCATTACATTACCGGAGTTATCAGAGTGAGAATAGAAATAGGAATGTATTACGTACTTTAATTACAAACTCCTTCGATCACCAGCAGGCGATAACGCCGTAAAACTTTTTGTACCCACCTTCTGGTCTCCCTGAGTGACCTGGTGGACGAGATACGCTGCAGCACAGTTGGAATGAACAGATAACCAAACCCCGCCATGATTCTCCCGAAGAAGAGATTCCACACGGTGTGACGCACTGTTGGGTCAAGGTCAAGGCTTTGTTGTCGGACAAAAGTAGACATATATTTATATATTTTATCACCATATTCATTTCATATTAACCCATTTTACGGATTGTAAGTTGATGGGTTAGAAGAAAATATACATCATAGTACTTGTCTACAAAGATCATAAATGTATGAAACTAGTCTCACCTGAAGTTCAACCTCCCAGTGTCTGCTGCACGGCCCCAAAGCTCCACAATCCCGTCTGCATCCAGCGTACCCTAGAGATGCGCACTTTTCATTGAGATAACACATCCACAATAGGATTCCTCACATTATCTCCTTGCTATGTATGAATAGTTTCTTCATCAAAGATTTTGTGCAGCTAGGTGGCAGTATCTTTGATACCCTTGAAAGACCACATCCTGAATTTAGTCATTGATACTTAAGATGATTCATATTGGATGCCTTTCAGTATATGTTTTCATTTGAGACCGATTTCCAAAAACTACAAGGTAGGTTTACTTGGGATAACTTTTTAATCAATAATTTGACTGCCATTTGCCTGAAGCAATCTTGAAGAATCTCTATCATTCATGGTCTTTTTATATAGTCCATGATATTTGTTACACCCCAATAAACAGGTGACACGGTTCATCAAATACACCAATGAATCTAGTGAATCGGAATGCAATATTACCTTAACTATAACTGCCAGCATTCCCGCCATCATGATTGTGAACTGCAGCACATCAGTCCAGATGACAGCCTTCAACCCGCCCTGGAGGGATAGTTCAAGATGGGAAGTTCATATCTTGGCAATAATCCGCATATACGTTTTGAGAAAGGAGTCCACAAAAGGACGTTATAATTATGTCGCATTGTTCTGTCAGTGTATAACGCTAAAGAGAATTTTCATTGGAAGAAACATAATTTTAATTTTCAACAAACTATTCGCTTTTTTGTTTTATTATGTATTTGATACAGTTACCCATTGACATGTCATGACAGCATTCAGATGAGCGTGTTAATGTCGTTAAAAATGACAGTCAGCAGTGTTCAAAGTGTATCACTATGGCCTGTAAACAGTTTGAATTCGGACAGAGTAACCAGGGTAGAGAGACTGAGCAAAGATCCACTCAGTCGGACCTCGATGACACACTGTGGGCCACGTAACCCATTTTAACCATCATGGGACCAAGTCTGATCCGGAATTACCAACGGGTTTTTGAAATTAGAATCTATAGTAAGTTGTATTCTTGTTGTTTTAAATACTCAAATAGTGTGTTCCCTCACAACATTCTTTTGTTTCGCAGATGTGCACGTACTTCCTATGTCTGAGAGTAGAATGTCATACTTACAATGGAGGTGTAGATGACAGTAATGGACGCAGTCACAGCCAAAGCAGCATACATGGATAACCCAGTCACTGACATTGAAAAGAATGATATCCTTTTATGGCTTGAATTTTATATAAAATTGATTATACAAATGCAAAAGGTAAGTTTAAAAAAAATGCTTTTTCTTCTTAAATTTAGCTTTTATTTAATTTCGATTAAACTAAAACAATTACCATATATATATATATATATATATATATATATATATATATATATATATATATATATATATATGCCAGTTTTTCAGATATGAGTTTATCAGTGACCCATGCCTCATAGCAAATATTGAAGTTACAGAGATTACACCATGTGTCATTTAATGATTTGATGAAGCCCTCAAAATACAGATTAGCACCAGTTTTATCTAACTGATATCAAGAATATTCAAAATGCCATTCTCTGAATTTACGATGTGGTTTTCCTAAGGGTACATGTAGAACAAGGTGGTGCATATGTTCCTTGGTTGAGGCAAGTATTCTGCACAGGACATATAATTAATTTCCATGGGCGTGTTCTTGAAATACCTGTTTGTATAGCGATGGCCTGACCGTATAAGACAACGCTCATGTACTGCAACTGTATGAAAAAAATAAAGTGCAGTTGATATGTACTGGTGTTCTTTCACTGTAAACATGTACTGTCACAATTTAGATGTTATTTACAGGATACATACATACATACATACATACATACATACATATATATATATATATATATATATATATGTGTGTGTGTGTTTGTGTGTGCGTGTGTGTTTGTGAAAGAAACTGTAACTTATGTAAAAACATAAAGATATATGAATAGTTTAACATTAATAATTTGATGTCATTATACGTTATTCATTGCAGTTAAAGAATGAAAGAAACATGGTAGATCAGAATATGTATATATATTTTACATAATTTAGGCACGACACTGCATTAGCTACCAGTCGAAGGGGCCTTGAACGAAATCGTCTTTCAAAGAACTACAACAGAAACAAGGTTTCAAAGTTTTGAAAACCAATATACTTGTATCATGACACAATAAACTAGTTCTAAACGGTTCTATCCATAGATGGCTGATAATATATTTAGCAATGTATATTTCATCTGAATTTCGGACACATGAGCAGAAAGAGACAAAACCCATTATGGATAAATATTAAACAAAACAAGGAAAGAATATAGCTGCGGGCAGCGATGCGGGCTCTATGATTTCTAGAAGCACTGAGTCATTCAGTTTCAGCCTACTGGAATCCACTTTATAATACAGTGCATAACAGTATTGTATAATGTAATTAATAATTTGATATTTCACGGACTTCTTCTTTGATAAGCATTTAGAAGTTGGAGTACTAAGTACTGATAAGAATTTATGGATGAACAACTTCTTTATTACAATTAAGAGTGACGTTTCGGTGTAGGTTCTATCACCGTTATCAAGCAAGTGATATACAGAGTGTGGTTGACAAGTATCTATGCAAGTAGGAGGTAATGTTTATGCAGTAGAGTAAATGTTGTTATACTGCAGTAGAGAAGCCTGTTATGTACACACAAGGGTAGTGATGACAATCGTCGATGAAGTCAGTGGCAGAAAGAAAGGATGAAGCCAGTAATATAAACAACGGGATTATGGCTGATTGGGGTCTTTGATGAGTTGATGGTACGCCGGGGGTATGAAAATCAAAATCAAATATGGCCGCAACTAATAACTATCCCATCAAATATATCAATGTTTGATATTGTATGTACGGAGACAAATCTCAAAAAGTTTGGTAGCATTTCATGTGGTGGATTCAGAGTCGTATGCTTTTGAAGACCTGTGTACCCAAAACACACTGTGAAAACCCTAAATCCAAAATGGCTGCCAAACCACGTGGCCAATGGCCAAAGTTAAAGAAGAAAAGATGTCAAGCATCTAAAGCAGCAGGCACATGTAGAGTGTGAAAATAATCGGAGTAGCGGTTTCAGAGCAACGTGGCAAAATACATCTCATGCCAATAGTGAGTGAGCGAGTGAGTATGGTTTTACGCCACTTTCAGCAATATTCCAGCAATATCACGACGGGGGACACTAGAAATGGGCTTCACACATTGTACCCATGTCAGGAATCGAACCCGGGTTTTCGGCGTGAAGAGCGAACGCTTTAACCACTAGGCTACCCGACCGCCCCTCATACAAATAAATCATTTAGTTCCAGTCAATTTGAATCCACTTTATAAATGCATTGCACATGAGTATGCTATAGTGTAATTTATTACTTCATATGTCATTAGACCACCTCCATGGTCTAGTGGTAGAGCTTCCGCCCGGAGAGCGGAAGGTCCGGAGTTCGATCCTCGACAAAAAGACGTTAAAAGATGGTACTTGTTGTTACCCTGTCTGGCGCTCGGCATTAAGGGGCTAAAACAAGGACTGGTCGGCTCGGAGTCAGTATACTGTGTCTGAGTGGGGTATTCATGTTAAACTGCGGCAAGGTATCTCAGTGAGCTAGCACTATAAATCGGCATCAGTCCGGACTAGTACAAGCAGCCCCACACACGTACATGCACGTCGCTATATAAGTGCAATAATCTTGGACGCGACGTTAAACCCTATTTCACCTCACCTCATATGTCATTAGTCCGTTTTGCCAAAATTGGCGGGAGCCAGAGCTTTCTTGGTTGTTCTCTACCCATTCCAGTCCTTGTTCATATTCGAATCCTAAAATGGATTCTTTGTACCAATGCCGTCAAATAAAGACGCCGCTACGTAATTGACGTGTACAAGGGTGTCCCAGGTCATAGAGCCCTAATAATAAATCGAACGATTCTAATAGGACAATATGATTGTGATCCCACTCTACATACACACACGCGAAATTTGGTCGAAATCGGACCAGTAGTTTCCGAGTAACAAGTGTTCGAAGGTCTGCTAATCAGAGGTCTGCTGTACGGCAGCTTGTGGCAGGGTGACAGGCAGGGTGGCAGGCCGGGTGGTAGGGGGTCAACTAGTCCGGGAGCGTAGCTCCCTTGTCCATTGAGCTACAGTCAAACGGATGAGTGTTCTGACTTGGCCAGGACCCCGGGTTTCTGTCGCATTGCATAGATAAAGTACTGACACTGTTTCCGATCTCGTCCATGTTCGAATCCCCAATTGGTTTGGTTGTACCGATGCCGTCTAAAGTAAGGAAACGCTTGTGAGACATCGCCTCTACGACATTGATGTGTCCCAGAACGTCCTGGGATGTCCTGAAACCATTCTACACGCCGTCCATGTTTGAATCTGCATATGGTTTGCATGTACCAACGCCTTCAAAAGTAAGGAAACGCTTGCGAGACATTGCCTCTACGACAGTGATGTGTCCCAGAACGTCCCGGGATGTTCTACACCAATTTCTGACACCGTCCATGTTCGAAGACACTGTGAAAACCCTGAATCCAAAATGGCTGCCAAACCACGTGGCCAGTGGCCAAAGTTAAAGAACAAAAGATGTCAAGTATCTAAAGCAGCAGGCACACGTAGAGTGTGAAAGTATTCGGAGTAACGGTTTCAGAGCAGCGGGACAAAATACATCTCACGCCACTAGTAAGTGAGTGAGTATGGTTTTACGCCGCTTTTAGCAATATTCCAGCAATATCACGGCGGTGAACCTGAAATTGGTTTCACACATTGTACCCATGTCAGGAATTGACAGGTTTTCGGCGTGACGAGCGAACGCTTTAACCACAAGGCTACCCGACCGCCCCTCATACCAATAAATCATTTAGTTCCAGTCAATTTGAATCCACTTTATAAATGCAGTGCACATGAGTATGTTATAGTGTAATTTATTACTTCATATGTCATCAGTCCGTTTTGACAAAATTGGCGGGAGCCAGAGCATTCTTGGTTGATCTGAACCCATTCCAGTTCTTGTTCATATTTGAATCCTCAAATGGATTCTTTGTACCAATGCCGTCAAATATAGACGCCGCTACGTAATTGACGTGTACAAGGGTGTCCCGGGGCATAGAGCCCTAATAATAATTCAAACAATTACAATAGGACAATATGATTACCATCATAATCTTGACGATCCCACTCTTCATACACACTCGAAATTTGGTCAAAATCGGACCAGTAGTTTCCGAGTAACAAGTGTTCGAAGGTCTGCTAATCAGAGGTCTGCTGTACGGCAGCTTGTGGCAGGGTGACAGGCAGGGTGGCAGGCCGGGTGGTAGGGGGTCAACTAGTCCGGGAGCGTAGCTCCCTTGTCCATTGAGCTACAGTCAAACGGATGAGTGTTCTGACTTGGCCAGGACCCCGGGTTTCTGTCGCATTGCATAGATAAAGTACTGACACTGTTTCCGATCTCGTCCATGTTCGAATCCCCAATTGGTTTGGTTGTACCGATGCCGTCTAAAGTAAGGAAACGCTTGTGAGACATCGCCTCTACGACATTGATGTGTCCCAGAACGTCCTGGGATGTCCTGAACCCATTCTACACGCCGTCCATGTTTGAATCTGCATATGGTTTGCATGTACCAACGCCTTCAAAAGTAAGGAAACGCTTGCGAGACATTGCCTCTACGACAGTGATGTGTCCCAGAACGTCCCGGGATGTTCTACACCAATTTCTGACGCCGTCCATGTTCGAAGACACTGTGAAAACCCTGAATCCAAAATGGCTGCCAAACCACGTGGCCAGTGGCCAAAGTTAAAGAACAAAAGATGTCAAGCATCTAAAGCAGCAGGCACACGTAGAGTGTGAAAGTAATCGGAGTAACGGTTTCAGAGCAGCGGGACAAAATACATCTCACGCCACTAGTAAGTGAGTGAGTATGGTTTTACGCCGCTTTTAGCAATATTCCAGCAATATCACGGCGGTGAACCTGAAATTGGTTTCACACATTGTACCCATGTCAGGAATTGACAGGTTTTCGGCGTGACGAGCGAACGCTTTAACCACAAGGCTACCCGACCGCCCCTCATACCAATAAATCATTTAGTTCCAGTCAATTTGAATCCACTTTATAAATGCAGTGCACATGAGTATGTTATAGTGTAATTTATTACTTCATATGTCATCAGTCCGTTTT